TTAATGTTTGTTTAAAAAAAAAATTAAGTATTTTTTTTTGTCAAGAATATTGGTATAAAGGGATTTGACATCTAAACTTGCCATGGATTTATCTGTCATACATATTCCACTTAGTTTTTGATCAGGTTGCCTGAACTTTTTTTTTTATATGTGAAGGGCTGATTGTTCAAAGGAGTGGTGTTAAAATCTTTGTAATGGCTTTCACCAGTTTATAGGGAGTGCTACCAATTCCTGTCAGCATTAAATAACCCATAGATGTTGATATGCCACTAAACTAAAAACAAGCAATCAACCAATTTCTGATATGTGTTGCATTGGAATACCGGCTTTGTGTGTTTTGGTTAGACCATAAAGTTTTGGTATTTTAAGGTGATATTCTATTATTCAATACATTAGACACTCACTGTAATGAGTCTGACCATATTTTTTAATTTTTTTTTTTTTTTTTAAATGCTGCTTTTATTAAAAGAGAAAACAATTTATTAAATGCAATGAGTGCTAAATCATCTTTGGCAAATTTGTGTCCAGGTTCTTGACAGATCTTCTGGTAATGTGGTATATTTAACAACATAAATGATAAAAAAAAAATCTAGGGAAATTGAATCAGGATAGGCTGTGTCCAGTCACATCTTAGGAAAAAAAAAATTCTAAATTAAAAAAAATAATTTTAAAACTCTAAAATTTATAATTTATCATTCTCACATTTTCAGTACTTCTTCTCGTGCATAACTGATGTTTATGTTTATATCTCCCTCCTACACATATATAATTCCATCAGTAAGAACATTATTTTAGTCTACTAGAGTCCTTTCTATAACAGGAAATTCATTGTATAGAATTTTTCCACTTTCTCATTCAATTGCCTAATCTATATCTATATCCAAGTAAAATGAGAACAAATAGACTACAATTCCAACATTCATAAGATTTAATTTAAAAGAGGTATCAATACAAAGTAGAGCATTATTATTATTATTTTTAAATCTAAGTAAATCATTCACATGTCAGTAGTTTACAATTGCCTGATGAGATGCATTGATACACATTGAAACACAACTGCAATTGCGTAGCAATTTTGAAATGTTTTTGGTGTAATGTCCTGAAATATATATCAGTAGTACCAAGAATTCCTTCAGAGCAAGGTGGTATCAACATATATCATCTTTCAACAACAACATGTACAGAAATAGGATGTCTCTTTCTAAATGTTTTTGGTACTTAAAAGTAGTTAACAAAACCCCTAAAGTAAAATGGAAAATATTAAAAAAATAGAACTTGTAAATCTTTACAGGAAAAATTCCATATAATCAAGTTTGCTAAGAATAAAGCTCTGTTTAACCAAAGAAGTGAATTAACGGTGTGATGCCGACACAGTCTATCTTTTACCTTAAAATATAGTTAAAAATTTATTATAAAAAGCAATGACATATTAAAATTTTATAGCCATCATTTTATTGGTATGTAATGATCCACCCTCTATTTATTTGGTTTATACAACTTTAATATTGCTATGTTTTGCTGTCTATTCAGTATTATTAGCACCGTATATAGATGTTTCACATTTTTTATTTTAAGATGCTTCTTGAAGATATAAAAAATTAAAAAAAAAAAAAATTTTCTGATAACTTTATTATTAACCTCCCCTACCACTTCAACAAATTGAACATCATATTTGGCTACATTCATGATACATTTGCTGCTATCATATTCTCTACAATCGTCAATGATAACATGTCTAAACGCCGGTTTATCATGAGATGAAAATATAACCACCCTCTGACCTTATTTTTCTATTTAGTGTAGATTTGACTTTCAATTGGTTAATCGAGACACACCCACAAGTATATTTTTAATGCTGACTTTATGCCCCCTCTCCTTTTATCTTTGGGAAAAGAGGTAACATTTTGTTTTTAAATTTCCCTAAAATTTTATTTTTATCACCAGTTATCAACTATCGCCTGAGGAAATATAATCAAAGTATTGAACCATGAAAGCTTTTGTGTAGCGTTGTAAAATGTTTTTATTATAATCTCGTATAATAAAATTATTATAATAAAATATATATATCACAGCTGTTTGAGGTTTCCTATAGCCCCACTGAACTTAAATAAAGTCAATTCAGGTTTGCTATAGTAAAAATTTTCTATCCCAAGTAAAAATCATCACAAAAATGGCAAAAGTCATTTTGTCACAGCTTATTTTCTCTGGATTGTCATACTTTTATAGGGGTAAAATATTGAAAAATGACTTGTCTTCATATAAACAAATATCAAGGAAACTTTTGATCTGAACCCCATGAAACTCTGTATTTTCTGAAAGCAAAGGATATATTCTTTCATTTAAAAGTAAAATTGGCTGGTGTAAATGATTCAAAATTTTTTTTCAGGGGCTAAAATGTGAAAAAATAGTTAAAATTTTGCATTTTTTTCAAGTTCTAAACAAAAATTTTTCCCATTAATGGGAAATTAACCATTTTTGTTGGAAAATCAGAAAGCCTAAATCATAATCAAACTATTTCAAGCATAAAATTGAGTTTTTGAAGGAAATCAACATTCCTAGGGGGTCAAAATGTGACAAAGTCCATTGGTAATTTTCAATTATATGACTGCCAGGGGTTAAAAAGATTGACACCTGGCCATGGAAATCTTTAGTAAAAGGTGAAAAATTTATGCGCAATTCCTGATCAACAGAAACCAAAAGTAAAATTAAGCCAAATTGACTTTGACATTTCTGGGTCAAAGGTCAGCCAGCAATAAACGTTTAGAACAAGTTGTTGTCAGCTTGTAATAAAACCTACCACTCCCAGATAAGAGCAAAAAGTGAAAAAAAAAGGGTCAACATTGGTAGGGCTTGATATAAGGGTTTTTTTTTGTTTTTTTTTCCAAACCTATGCTTGATGTGTTTTGTTTTGTTTTTAACACCCGGTGACCCAGGTGATGACAATACTTAGCAGACGGCATTGTTTTTTTTCACTGCATGTCTTTCGTATTTCCCATTGCCAGGCCATTTAGCTGTTCCTTTTATTCAATGATGTTCACGCCAAATTAAGGAGAAAGGGACGAAGTTTGAATGATATAATGATATAATTTTGAAGTAAAAATAAATATTTTTTCATAAAAAAAAAAAAAAGGTGATTTTTCTCAGAAAATTGGGCATAATTTCTTAATGGTACCACTGAGTGACATTTTCCTCAGCCAGATCGAAGATTAATTACCAGTGAATAATTCCATGTGCAAACAATAGCTGTCTGGATCCTATAACGTTGCCCGAAAAGGTCCAGAAGTTTACTGATTGATCAAAAACTTGTTGTGCATAATTGTGTTTTTCACGGTCAGTTTTTATTATTTCATCATGATGTTGTCATTTTCAGACAGCCAAGTCATCAAGGATTCAGGAAAACAATTTGGCACAGGTTTGCTTTAAGAACTTTACATTCTATGAGGTGTTTAAAATGTTACTGACGAATGGGATTTTTCGCCGAATATTTAATTTACGTGCCATGTTGGATTTTCCTATATGACAAAAATAAGCATTTTAAACAGCTGTGAGATATATATATATATATATATATAACAAACAATTGATAATTAGTAGGGATAATTCAAAGGAGGACATTAATCCAAAGGTAGCTCAATGTAAGTAACAGAGCAATATAATAATGAGTACAGATGATTCTTAGAAATCCTTTCTGTTATAATTTATTTCATAAATATACAATTATTTTTCTCTTCAGACCAAAGTTTGTTTTAATAAATGGAGTCAATTTATCCAGAAAAAAGGAAAAATAATAAGAAAAGGAAAAAGTTTTAATATTAAGAGGAAGAAAGAAAAATAAAAATTTCAATATAAGGTTTTTAAAAAAAAATGTTTGTGGAGAAGAGAGGTGGGAGAGAAGGAGAGAGTGAGATAGGGAGGGAAAGAAAAGAAGGAAGAATTGAAGATAAAAATGGAAGATAGGATGACCTAGAAATGATTTTTTTTTTTCTTTAAGCAATGGACAAGTTAAAATACAGGTTAAGGGAGTGATAAGATACGTTAAATAGATACGTTGAATTGTCTGATATTTATGTCATTTTGGACAATGAAACAATTTCAAATTAAAGATAATAATAATAATAATAATATTTGATATCAATAAAATAAAAATTAAGTTAAATAAAAAAATTAAAATATATAAAAAATACATTAAGAGATAAATACAGAACAATTTTAAGGATTTATATATATATATATATATATATATATATATATATATATATATATATATATATTTTAAGTTCCTTAAAATTGTTCTTTATTTAATTATTTTATTAATATTTTTTATGTATATTTTTTTATATATTTTATATTATATATATATATATAAAAAAACTAAAAAAAAAACTTTGATCTGAAGAGGTGTGTGTGCATATATATATATATATATATATATACACACACACACACACTACAGTTCAAAAATTGAGGCCACCCTTTTTGAAATTGGCCCCAAAAGTAGTAGTTGTTTTGTACTTTAAATAAAAAAAAAATATTATACATGGTTAAAAAAAATTGAGACAAATTTTCATTAGAAATTTTATTATGACAAAAAACAAAAAGTATTTTATGATTAAATTTTGCCCTTGTCAAAATATTCTCCTTTAAGCCTTTGGTATTTGTTGCAAAAGTATAATTTTGATAATTGATTCCATTCTTTTTTCATTGATTCTAAGAGCTGTTTTTCATTTTATTTTCACTCTTCTGTCAAGTTGATCTCATGCTGTTTCTGGGTGGGTGGCTTCATATTTTTGATCTGTAGTGGATATATAAATTTGTATCATCATTTTATTGTATTATGATCATTAAATATTTTGTCTCTTACAAATTCTCATCACATACTATCTGTTTTGGAACACTTTAGCAAAGTTTTTAATTTGAATATACCTTCAAATATGGAAGTTATGAATGACAAAAAAAATTCTTGAAAAAGTAACTTATTTTTTTTTTCTTTATAATTTCAGGGTGTTGATTTTGTGTGTATTTCTGACAATTACTGGTTGGGCAAGAAGAAGCCATGTCTCACCTACGGGCTCAGGTTAGAAGTTTCAAGTATTTTATCAAAATTTTATATTTGTATGCAGTATATCCAGAAAGAATTCACCTAGTGAATATTAATAAAAAAGTAGTTTACCTAGGACAGTGGTGCCTTAGTTCACTTCAAAGTGCTCTTCTTTTTTTTTTTTTCTTTTTCTTTTAGGACTTAAGTCTCCTTTCCACTTTTCAAAATAGACTGGATTGCCATCATTTGCTTTGTTGCAGCCTCCTTAATCTCATTCAGGGGCTGAATTTTTTTTTTTTTTTTTGTTAAATTTTGGTAAAAGTCAGAAGTCACAAGAAGCCAAATCTTGTCTGTAGGAGATTCAGGTGATATGATGTTTTGCCTAAAAAGCTTACATGAGAATGAGACTGTCAGAAAGACTCATACAGTGGCATTTCACTGACAACTGAATAACTCCTTCAGAATAGTTTCCATTTGCACAATCCTTTCTGCTTGGATTCCTAAGTTACATCAAGATCATCCTACTGGTTTTCATAATGTTCAAAATAGCTGGATACTTTCTACACAAACCTATATATGATTCCGTATGGTTTCTTGAATAATTTCTGTTTAAAAAATACAGGACTCTTGCACAGTCTTTCTTTTGGGATTAAGGAAAGGTTAACTGATGTCATTCTCTCACTATTTTTTCTGCGTCTTGATCCAGATAATCTTTGCAGAATTTTGAACCAAACCCTATAGGGGGAGAGTGTAGATTGTTCTCATTCCACTGTCAATAACTCAGTTATTGCACATCTCCTTTTCACTGAATCTGAATCTAGATTACAACAAAGACTTCAACTTTGCCACAATCATTAGGCAAGTTCCAGGCTTAGAGAATGATACTTCCAGTTGAGTAGGTTGCTTTAATGTTTCATAAGACTTTGGCAAATGAGCAACCTCCATTTTAAATTTCCTTAAAATCATATGGATCAACAGAAGAAGGTACAATGACTAAAATGTTGCGATAATAATGACAAAGATGAAGTTCAAATATAAATAATAACTGTTCATCTCAGAAATTCAGACAGACAATATTTTCTCTTTCATCAAATTGTTTTTTTTCTTACATCTAATTATTACATATGCACAGCCTGCTCTGATTGGCTTCCAAAGTTACATCAAGAACATACAACTAGCTCTTACAATATTCAAAACAGCTGGTTACTTTTGCACAAAACCACACACACACACACACACACACACACACACACATATATATATATATAACTTAACATAATTTAAATAAATATATATTGTATATCTAGGCAGAAAATATACATATTTTATTGAATGTGATGGGCAAGAACAATTTTGTAAGTTCATTGTTTTTCAGTTTTTGTAGTGTCCTTCCAGATTTTCTTTCAGAAGGACTAAAAAAGAACTTTGTCCAATAATCATTATGGACAATTTCTACACACAGTCATTCCTTATAAAAGAAAAGCAGTAAGGACACTAGAAAAACTGAATGGAGAAAACTTACAAAATTTTACTTGTATGTTGCATTCAATGAAATATATATATATATATATATATATATATATATATATATATATATATATATATAGTGAACATAGAAGTCAACACTTAGAGGCGACAGTCTGTTTCATGCTAGATGCAATCATCAGGCCACTGATTGATGTTGACTTCTATGTTCACTTTTATATTTACACACGCTCTATCTCTGATATTGAGCACTTTATCCCATAAATATAGCACATCTTAAGACTATATTTCTACATACATACATATATATATATATATATATATATATATATATATATATATATATATATATATATAAAAATAATGAGAAAGAACAATCTCAATTTATAATCCGGTGTTCTTAAATTTAAAGTTTTTAGTTTCTGTTTTTGAACATGATAATTCCTGTGTAGCGATGGGACCATATTTTCAAATTAGTAAATTTATAATATATATGGGTAAAAGTGTTCAATATCAGGGACAGAGCATATGCAAAACTGGACATTGAAGTCAACACTGAGCTGACATTCTGTTTCATGCTTATAAGCAATCGTCAAGCCATACGATTGTGTATAAGCATGAAACACTGTCGCTGCTGGGTGTTGACTTCAATGTCCAATATTATATATATGTGTGTGTGTGGAATAGCAAATGTGTCCATCCAGTGATTAGAAAATTACAATTGAAAGCATTAAATATATTAACCATTATTCATTTTTAATTAGTCTTGATTTCATCTTTTAATTACCTTTTACTGTAATTATTCTGATTATAAGGGTTTGGCTTTTATTAAAGGATGAATACCAACTAAAATTAAGATGAAAGAAATACTTTTCACAAATGTGTAACAAATGACAATGTTTCATCTAAGAAATTTGAACAATTTAAGATTTACACTGCTTGGTGTAAATACAAGAGAAATAAGATGAAAGAAATACTAATTATACATTAAAAATTAAATATAAATTAAAGATAATTGACAAAACCTCATTTAATCAAAAATCCTGATAACATTTATTAATGTTTGTCTTTACTTTAAAAATTTCTCTTATAAATTACAAATAATTTAAAAAAAAGGTGTATGAAGAAATATTTTTTTTAAATTATCTTATTGGAAGTTTTTTATTTATTTATTTTTTTCTTTGAATGAAGGAATTTCTAATGCTTTACCATGATTTGGTTTATTTTTCCTTCCTGTCTTACACGGGTTATTAAAAGCAGTTTTGATACTTTAATAATTATTCCTGTTAATCAAAACCAAATCATTAAATATAGAATAAATTATTTTCTGTTAATAAATTTTCAATTATATTAAAATTTTAAAATGAATTGATGGATGTTTCTTGAATGCCAGCTTATGTTTGATATTATACTATTAGCCTATAATTGCAGGAGTTATATACCACTTTTTCTCCATCTTGTTCACTGATTATGGGTTTGGTTGGTTGATTTTGTTTAACAACATATCAACCTCTATGGGTTATTTAATGTGGAAATCTATATATTTTGTACATAATTTTATGCTTTCAACTATGGATATTTTGTACATAATTATATACATTCAGGGTAAAGTTATATTTTTTAGATATAGTTTGTCAATCATAAAATGTATTGTTGGTAATTTTTAAAAAATGTATTGCTGGTAATTTTCACTACAAAAATGGTAATTTTATTATAAAAATGTATTTTTGTACTGTTTTTAGTGTTGCATCAATTGTCATTTTGCTATAAAAATGATTTATTGATCATTTTACTGTAATTAAGTACTATTAATTTTTGTTTGAGGTTTACTATTTGCTTATAGCTGAGACCCTAACTGGTGATACCATTCCAAATGTTTATGGAAGTAACTAACTTATAAGATTGTATTTTGACTCACAATTCTGCAGCATTTTCAGACAATGAAATACTTTTTAAAAAAAAAATTTTTTTTAATACTTCCTGTTTGGTGGAAAGTTGAAAAAAATGACACTTATTTGTTTAAATTGGAATATTTTGATTAAATTGTAAATATTTGAAGACTATCAAAAATTAATCCATTCAGACTACACACTTATTAAAGATGAAAGCTCTGATATTTTATACAATTATTTTTTTTTTGTAGTCAGTCCTCTAAAAAAAAAAAAAAATTTCCTTTTCAGTTTTGTCATTGATAAAATTCCAATGTCAACATTAAAAATAGCCAGCCTCTTTGATGTTTCTTGCTGTTAAAAACTAAGAACTTGACTTCAAAGTAAAACTTATGGCTCCTGGTGAATAATAAATATGATTTCATCTTAAATTTATGCATGAAAAACCTAATTTAAGTGTATGGTAATAAGATGACATTTGTCTCTTCCGCCAGTACTGTTTTTATTACGATAAGCAACTTTTAAGTTAATTTTCTACACTTGTAAAAAAAGAAGACAAAAATATCCTAATTGTTTAAAATTTTGGAATTAAAGTAAATATAAAGTAGATTATAAAATATAAACAAATGAATTTAAATTTGCTTGACTTCTATTATAATTAACAATTTATTGATTAATTAATTGGATTTTAAATTTGTCACTCTTTGTGGACACAAAACTAAGTATTTGTGAACATGGATAGAAATTATTCAGAACCAGGCTAAATAGAAAAAAACCCATGAAAAGCATCACATGAACATCTTTTCCTTCCCAAATTCAATATCCCCACCTGCCAAAAAAAAAACTTTCTAGATGACTAGAAAAGCATCCTCTTGGAAGTCTGTTGCATAAAGTAACAGTTCTTGGGAAGAAGCTGAGTGGAAATTCCTTCTGACCAATGGAATTGAAGGGAATGAGGATGAGTTGACTCCTTGTATATAGCCTGGTGGGTCCTAGCGTGTAAATGTCTGAACTGGTGGAAATAAGAAATGTAGCATAGAAATAGTGATAGAGTAGTGAGAGGCTTGGCTGTAAAGGTCTGAAATGAACTTTATTTTATTTTTATTTATTTATTTACTTTTTTTTTTTTTTTTTTTAAATTTTTTTTTTTAATCATTTCACCCCAAGCCGGGAGTTACAGAGAGTGAAGGTGGGAGAAAAGACTGGGTATAATGGGGATTGAGGAAAGGGTAAAAGCTGAACATGATTCTAGAAGATGGTGATTGATGTTGCATTTAAATTTTTAAAGATTGTAGTTATCAGGAAAGCAAGGAAACAGAAGGGAGCTCCACAGGTGGGAAGTGTGAGAAAAGAAACTGTTGGAGTAGAAGTGGTAGTTACATTTAACTAATTCAACAGTAAAAGGGTGGGACTTAGATGCCAATCTAGTAGCACTCACATAGTCTGGGAACCAGGGGGGGGAAAGTTTCTCAGAAGTTGCCATGAAAATATTTGTAGAAAAGACAGAGGTAAGCCATGTCACATCAGTGAGAAAGTGACTGAAGTTGAAAAGCCAAATCACGATTGATTACATTGCAGATCCTTCTTTGGATTTTGTCAAGAATCTCGAGATGAGTAGCAGGAGCACCTGACCAGATATGGCAACAGTATTCAATGCACCAACAAATGGACAGTGGTGCCTTAGTTCCTAGTTGAAAATGTGAGGCCGAGGAGCTGCAGTGTATTGCTCTCCAAGAGTCTAGGATCAGTCATACTGATGGCGGGCAGGAAATATTCCCTATGGTGGTTAAATGAGAGCAGTTTCTTTTTGGAGGCATTAAAATTTACCAGCCATTTCCTACTCCAGTTAACCACAGATTGGAGGTCCTTTTCAAGAGCAGTGGCCAGGTTAACTTTGTCAGCTCTGGCAGATTTGCTATTGAGACAGAAGTAAATGGTAGTGTCATCAGCATAAATGCCTACTTGGGAACTGATGACATCAGGAAGATCATTGATGAAGATCAGAAACAGTGTAGGACCCAGGATAGTCTTGGGGGACACCTGCATTCACATTAAAGAATCTGGAAGCAAGCCTGTTCAGAACGACCTTCATTTCAGGATTTGATAGGAATGAGTGTATTAAATCAAGCAATCATCCTGTAATACCATATCCCTGGAGCTTATGTAAAAGATAAATGTGCTAAACCTTGTTTGCCATTATTATGATGAACTTGATATACATATTCAATGATGGCTGTTAACACATCAGCAGTAGACCTGGCAAAATGGAAGCCATATTGTTTGTCAGAGTGTAGGTCCTGAGTGGTAAGGTTGTTAATTACTTCAGCATTGCTGAAAAGTGGTAGGAGACTAATAGGGTGATAGCTAGATGGAGGGGGGGGGGGTTCTCCAGAGTTCTTAAAAACAGGAACTACAGATGAGGACTTCTAACAAGCTGGAAAGCAGCAAGGCAATAGTTGTAAGGTTTGGAGAGGAACATTTAGGATGATGGCTGGGATCCAGTCACCTCCGCTTGCAATGTTTTGTCTGTAGGGGAAAAGGACTGTAATTCATCACCTACAAAAATAGGGAAGAATTTTGATTGTCTGGGGCCAAGAATTAATGCAAGTGCTAATAAGATCATTGTATTTATAATATATATTTATGTGAATGTGTTATTTTCTGCTTTGAATATTAGATTTGAGAGTACATATACTAACAGTTTATTTTCCATGTATACAGTTCATATTTTGTTTCTTTTAATATCCAAATTTAATGTTAATTTTTCATGTTTTAATTCATTAAAAAAACAATTTACAAATTACATTTTTTTATTTTTTTATTTTTTATATTTATTTTTATTTTTATTTTTATTTTTTTCAGAGGAATTTGTTATTTCTTTGTGGAAGTTAAATGTGCTGAGAGAGATCTTCATTCTGGAGTTTTTGGTGGCTCAGTGTAAGTAAAAGAGAAAAAAAAATTAACCATACAGGATATTTTCCTAGATGCCTGTAGGTAGTACCAAATACTATATATATACTATTTTTTGCTGGTACATACATATATCTATGATAAAACATAATCTGTAAATTAGGTGCATGAACTTAATAACAAATGATAGTAAAATAGAACAATTTAAATAATATGAAGGGGTGTTGAAATTTTTTTAGCTTGATTTACTTCCCAAAAGCAGTATTTTAATATCCAAATATTAAAATAATGGTTTTGGGAAGTGTTTTGCTAAAACTTTTCACAAACATCTCTTGTAAGATGTTATGATAAACAGCAGATTCATTTGTAATGTAGATGTTAGTAGCTGCAGCATAAGATTTTTTCTTTGCTTAAGTGATGGATTTTCATTTTTTCATTGAAAGGAATTTAACAATCATAGAATAAATAAAACAAACTAAAAGAAAAATGAAAATGAATAATATGAAGAAGTATTCAAAAATTCTCATCTTAAAAAAAAAGATTCCCCACAAATTATGTTGTCTTTGTGATTAGATTTTTGGAAACTCTTGTAATTGAAAACTTCCAAAAATTCGATCACAAAGACAACATAATTTGTGGGGAATCTCTTCTTTTTTAAGATGAGAATTTTTGAACACTTACATTACATTATTCATTTTCCTTTGAGAAATAAGAAATAAATATTAATTAATAAAAAAAAAAATATTAATTGACAATGCGTCATCTAAGAAATTCAGACAACAAGACTATTACTCAGTCAGTTAAGTGATATACACTTGGGAAATCATGTCTCTTTTGATTCATGACTGACTAGGTAGAAGATTTTCCTGCATTAGGTTGCTGTAGACTGGTTGCCAACGAAGGTTATAGGTTCCAGTCTGTCCTGCTATGGAAGAAGAGCTTGATAAATATCTTTCTCAAGGATATTTGTGCGTAAGTGAATGTAACGAACATGACTGAAATTTGAACTCAGATTTGCGATTTCTCCTGAACTGATATTAATTATATGACAGCACACATACAAATCAAAAATTAACAATTGACAATATTTCATCTAAAAAATTCAGACAACTTAAGACTATTACTATTTGGTGTAAAAGCAAGAGAAATAAGATGAAAGAAATACTAGTAAAAATGAATAATAATTGATAAGAAAATTACACAAACACTTTTAGGAGGAAAAATTAGATGAAAGAAATAAGTGAAAATTGATACTACTACTACTACTACTACTACTACTGAGCAACTTTGGTTGGCCAACTGTCAGGTGGATACAGTCCACTAATCTACCACTATTAGGCTAAGGTTTCTAGAATTTGTACAACTTAGAATCAGGAAGTACTATCTCTCCAAGACACCTTTAGGATTTTGTGAAGGCATCTTAAATGGAAAACAGCTTAGAGAGCTAAATAATGTTTGTGGTGGATTTCCAAGTTTCACATACATATAAAGCAGTTAAAACAATAGTTATATAATTTGAGCTTGGAGACTATTACATCTGATGAAATTTGATTTTGTTTTTAAATGTCTTTTCGAATTGTTTGTATGTTGTTTTGATTTTGATAAAATTATTTCTCTCTTTGAAGGCATGAAGCAATGACTGATGTGATTGCCCTGCTCAATTGTCTACTTGATAATAATGGAAGAATCCAAATTCCAGGAATTTATGAATCTGTGGCCCCAGTCACTGATGATGAAGCCATTCTTTACACTGATATTGACTTTGACTTGGTAAGACTTTTTTCTTTGGGAGCAACTTAAAAAAAAAAAAAATCCCTGCCAGATAGTGACAATTTTTTATTTATTTTATTTTTTTTTTATTTTGTGAAAGTTTTGTTTTTCCTGGTTTCTTTTTGACAGAAATAGATCAACAAATTAAGCTTTTCTGAAGAAAATTGAAAATTTCCCACAAAAAAAATATTCCATACATTCTTTGACTAACATCTTCATCTTTATTGTTTTTATTCTAACATTTTGGACAATGTGTTCTTCAGTCCTCTTCAGAAATATCTTGTGTAACATAGCTGCCCTGTACCTTTTTTATAAATATTTTCATGGTAACTGTTTATCTTTGGCAAATAGATTTTATGAAGGTAAGTGTACTACTAGATTGACAGTAAGGTCTCATTATTTTACAGTTGAAATGGCTGTAAGTTCTATGTTAGCAGTTTCTTCTCACACTCTTCACTTGTAGAACTCTCTTCTGGCTTCTTGCTTTTCAGTCAACTTTGATCTTCAAAAATTTAAATGCAATGTCAATTGTTATCGTCTGTCTTCTTGATTCCTCTTCTTTTATTGTTATTTCTCCTTTTTATTGCCTTGCCTGGGTTGGAATGATTTAAAAAATAAAAATTTTATTGTCTAATGCATCATGCCTTTATCTTTTTCACATTAATGGAAACAAACTGATCTTCTGTGAGACCATTAGGAAAATATTCAATCTTTTAATTATTTTAATTTTAACCTGTTGCATAAATTTTAAATCAATCTGATTTCTTTTTATCATTTCCACATTTTTTATACTTATTTGCCAAAATAAAACTTTCAAATTTTGTTTGTAGTATTTTGATTTTGTTTTATTTATTTATGATTTCACACCAAGCAAGGTGATAAAGCCACTAACGCACAAGGGGTTATTGAGTGTGAAAGAATAAGAGAAAAAGCCACTAATGCACAAGGGGTTATTGAGTGTGAAAGAATAAGAGAAATCTTTAGTGAGGAGAAAGGGGCAATAAAAAAACAAAATTCAAAAAGACATAAGATAGCAATTGATGCTGTATTTAAATTTTCAAAGATCATAGTTTGCAGGAAAGCAAGAATCTGGAAGAATCACAGTGCAAGAAAAAATTTTAGGCTATGGTTACATTTAGCTAAAATGTTGAGACCTATCTGCCAATCTAGTACTGCTCTTAAATTCATTAAGTTGAGGTGCCAAAGAGTAAAGCTCATCAGAACAATTACCATGAAAATATTTATAGAAAATGCACAGGGAAGCAACCTTACAGCAGTGGAAAATATTACATTGAAAAGGTACAGTGATTGGTTCTTTTGGAGGTTGGCATCAGCCATGCGGATGGAGGGCAAAAATAAAATGACTAAAGTCACCAGTTTCATTTTGGTGGCATTAAAATTTACAAGCTAATTTTTTATTTTTTTTGTTTTAGTTAACAACAGATTGAAGGTCATTTTTTTAGGTCAGCTGCCAATTTGACTTTAGCAAATGTATCAGACTTAGAAGACAAGTAAAAAGTTGTCATGAGCATAGATACATAGTCTGGAAGTGAACTGACAACATTGGGAAGGTTGTTGAAGATAAGAAACAAAGTAGGTTTAAGAATGGAGCCCTGGGGGACATCTGCATTATTTTTTTTTTTTTGAAATGTTGGTCCAATTTTCATTAGATTTTTAAGAAAATGTTGATCTAGTTTTTTATTACATTTTTCCATTTCTAACAGGAGGAATATTGCAAAGATATTGGTTGCGATCGACTGATGCATTCTTCAAAAGCGCAAGTTTTGATGCATCGATGGCGCCATCCATCCCTTTCAATTCATGGTGAGGATTTTCTTTAAATACATAATATTTTCCTTTCTTTTCAGCAATATTTAACCTTTATGCCTGTAAAAAAAGGGGGAGTGTCAAAAGGGTTGGTATTTTTCCTTGACACCACTACTATTTTAACTACCTTCACTCCTCAACAATGTCTATTGTTTTAAAAAGTGATGATTAGAATTGTAATAAAACCTAATATTGGGAAATGTATGACAAAAGTGGAAAAAAGTTTTTAGGATTTCATTGGACTAAATTTTTATGTTGTGCAACTACCAGTCTGAATAAAGTCTAAACATAGGATGAAAGTGAATTTATATTTTTGTTCTTGATAATTTACAAGATATTTATTTATTAGATTGTTTATTTACAAGAATAATTTTATATTTAAAAGATTCTAAAAACTAATACAATTGTATTAAAACTAATGCAATTTATCATTTACCAAGTTATAAAAAAAATGTGAAAAAAATTTTTTATTCATAAATTTATAAACAATTATATGTGAATTGACTATAATGAAATTGTTATTATTTAGCATTTTATAAAGTTTAAGTCAATTGGCAATTAGCCAATGTTTTGCCAGTCATTCCAATAAACAGTCTAATAACTAAATTGTGTTTATTATTTTTGTTGTCAATTCTCAAGAACTAAGAATATGTATAAATTCACTTTTCATACTTTTATTACAATTCTAATCCTTGATTTTTAAAAGAATAAACATTGTTGAGGAGTGAAGGCGGTATTTTAACTATGGTAATGGTGGTGTCAAAGGAAAAACCATCCTTTTTGTGAGCATGAAAGTTAAAATTTTTTTGCTAAAACAATTATCTCCTTGTTGCTACTAATATTTATTTGAGCATTTCTTACTTCAGATATTAGTTTTGCTATAGTGATTGCTTCTACTTTGTTTTACTTTGAAGGAACAAACTTCATTTTTATTTTTATATATATATATATATATATATATATATATATATATATTTTTTTTTTTTTCAGGTATTGAAGGGGCCTTTAGCAGCAGTGGATCCAAAACTGTCATCCCCAAAAAAGTGATTGGAAAGTTTTCCATTCGAATTGTACCCAACCAGGACCCAGATGATGTGATCAAATTAACAAAGACTTACTTGGAGAATTATCATAATCAACGTGGATCGCCCAATCATGTCAAGTTATTATTATTTTTTTTTTTCCAACTGGTTTTAATGGCTTTTGTCAAAAACAAATTTGCTGGGTTGAATTTCTGACACAACCAGAATATTTGATCTGTTCTAATGGGGAAAATCTTTTTAGGTTGATCTTAAATATTTTGTCATATGTTAATACCCCAAATACAAATCTTTGTTCAGAGAAACCAAATACTACCAACTACACAAGGCAAATATTGAACTGTCTTTAAGAGTTTTATAAAGAGAAAGATTGAGATAAAAGTGGTTACTTGATTGTAGGTTTGGTTTGGTTTATTTTGTTTTACGGCACATCAACACCTCAATGGGTTATTTAATGCTGACAACATTTTTAGGATAGATTCGTATGAATAGAATATGTATTCTTTGGTTTAGATTGGTTTTACTGCATATCAACCTCAATGGGTTATTTAATGTCGGCAACATTTTTTTATTGCTGGTAATATTTTGTTTTGTCAAAAATCTATTTTTGGTAATATTTTTCTTTCAAAATAATAATAATAATAATAATAATAAAAAGTATTGCTGGTAATTGTTAACTATTTGCCCATAGCTGGGACCCTAACAGGTGCTACCATCCCGGGTCAGGGTGGAACTGGTAACACCAGCAATTAAGAGGTGGTTCTACGCTCCTCAAAACCTCCTGATCAAAGGCCTTGCTGCTGGATGTAGTTTATCATCTTACCCAGGACATACTTGCTTGTAGGAACATCTCATAAAATTAAGAGGTGTAATGTGGTATAATGGTTACTGACATGGAAAATGGAATCTGTTAAATTGGTTCAGATTTCAGTTGGGGTTGCTTGTTTTCAATTTATCCTAATGCACCTCTTTTCCTCTCAACTAAATGTAAATAGCAGGCCATTCTGGGCTTTCTTGCCTTGGTTAGCAACTAGTCTAGTAGACAGACAACTCTAATTTCAAACCAAGAGTAGAATACTTAAAGCAGATAAATTGTAGAACTCTCTCTCTTTTTTTTTTTTTTTTTCTGCAATTCTTGCTGCGTAAAAAAAGCCGTTGATTGTACAGCCATATCATGTGGAAACACTGGTTCTTGTATGTGTATAATTGAAATGATATATGCTATGAGAGTAAAGAAGGATTTTAGATAAATTTCTCTTTAAAATCCCAAATTTGAAGTTTAATCTACAAAGCTAAAAATACTAACTGACTTGATAACATTTTTCTCACTTGTGATCAAAAGAGAATGTACGTAAAGAATTTCTTGAGATTTTTTTTTTTAACTCTTTCTTCTGTGTAACTTTAAGACCTATTTTTTTTCTAAAGTAAAACTGAATATTTTGTGCACATTGTCAAAGGACAAAGTATTGAACGAACAAAGTGTTGAATCCTACTGTCTAAATGACAAATGGATAGAATGTTGAAAAGACAAAGGTTCAAAAAGACATGTTGAACAAAGTAAAAATGAACATATTGTCATAATTTTAAAAAACTCTGTTCAAATAATCAATTAAGCTATTGTAAAGTTTTTATTGCTTAGCTTTGGCATCATTTCATAATGGCCTTAAAAGTGATTAAACCTCCATGATCATTGGTTATTATGTCCATTCATCATTTAGTCAATTCAACTTTTTCCATTTGGCACTTTGTTCATTCAATACATAGTCTGTTTGACATTTCGTCCATTTGTTATTTTGTCTTTCAACACTGACCTACTAATAAAAATTTTGTGTTGATTGAAACTTGAATCATTTCAATCAACAAATTTCTTCAGTTTTTAAAAAAAAAAATACTTTTACAGCTAATTTTTATAATTTATGAAAATTAACTTCTGTTTGCTTTTCCTTGTCCAGTGTGTCTGGCTGTGGAGGTCCAGCTTGGGTGAGTGATTTTAATCACATCAATTATGTAGCAGGCAAAAAAGCAACTGAAAAAGGTAAGAAAATAATAATGTTTTTTTGTCTTCATTGTTAGGCTCCAACCCAAAACCTTTAATTCTAAAATCCTGTCATTTTTTTTTCCTAACTTGAATCTTCTGATCCTTTTAACTTACTGGCATGCAATCTAGTGTTCTTGAAAGTGAAGTATCTAGATTGATACCACTTGACATGACATAAAAGGATATGTCATAACAGAATGTGAGTAAGTACTTAGACAAACAACTTTACCCCTGTAACTACTTTATCTGTTGGGGCAGTCAAAGCAAAATATTACACCCATTGACAGGAAACTAATTAAAACATTTTTAATGTAATATCATCTGAATGTCAAGTTGAGGAAAAAATGATTCTCTTTCCAATTGTTTACTTTGAGAAATGTCCTCAAGAAATGTGTTGATGGCAATGTTTAACCTTTGTGACTGCAAAAAAAAACATTGCGTCAAAAGGACGGTTATTCTCTTGACACTGCTATTACTGTATACGCTTTTGACTCCCCCAGCAATGTTTATTGTCTTAAAAATCATTGATTTGAATTTTAATAAAGCAAAAACCTATGAAAGTGGATTTATACCTTTTCTTTATTCGTGAGAAATGACAACAAAGATGTTAAACACATTTATTAGATTTCTTATTTACAAGAACAATTTTATATTTACAAGATTATAAAAATATGTGCACCAACTATAATGGAATATTTAGTATTTACCATTTTGTAAAGAAATAAATAGGAAATTAAAATTTTTCAGAAATTTTGAAAAATATCTGAACAAGAAAAATTTTATATAAATGCATAACAATGAGTAACTAATTATAAATTTTGAAAAAAAAAAAAATGTATTTTCCAGGTATTTCTTTCATTTACACTCGCTACATAAACTCACTAAAATAGATTGAGTGAATCTTTACCTCTTAAATATTTTGATAATTTTTGAATAAAAACATTGCATTGTACTTGGTTTATATATTTTTATAATCTTGTAAATAAACATTGCCATGGCAGTCAAAAGTAATAGTGGTGTCAAAGGAATAACAGTTCTTTTCATACACCATTTTTTTTTTTTTTTGCTGAAGGTTAAACATTGCTGTGTAGGCATTCATTGAAGACTCTTTCAAATGCTTATCTCAATAATTTTTTTTCCCCTTCTTTTTTATTATCACTAAATTTTGGGCAGTGTACTGTCTCCTTCAGCTGCTGATTTACATCTATAATTTGCATTTAATGAGAATAGTAAGAGTTACAATGTTGTGAACAGATTTTGTTAATCCCATATCTCAATTTCTAGGGTGAGGAGTTCTCTCATTGTTATTATTGTCACATTTAGACTATTGTGCCTTCTGGATTTGTTTGTCTGGCTAATCCTCAGGGTATTTTGAACTGAGCCCTTTATTTTAGCTACAGGGGAGATTGTTCCAGTTTATGTTGGGAGTTGGTAACCCCTGGGTCACATCTGACTGTGAAGGATTTTTGTCCGGCTTGCCAACTTTATACCTGGACACTAATTATCTAATTCATTTGCGGAGCAAGTAGTAGAAAAAATATTAGTTGGAGTTAATTGACCTGCAATGCAACAAATTTTTAAATCAAAATTTAATTCCAAATTCACTGCTGACTTCTACAAGAAATGTTTTATCCAGTGGGAAATATAAGAGCTGATTGAATAATGCAAAAATGATGGCATCTTTATTTGGATGTACAAATTTGGAGCTTGTGAACAACTTTTTTTTGAAAATGAAATATGCTAAAAGTCGTTTAAGAACAAGTTTGGGTGATGACCATCTGGATGATGTTTTGCTCCGGTCATCGACAAATATTTCATCTGGTATAGAGAAGTTATCAAAACAATAAACAGAAACGAGTGTCTCATTAAATAATTTGCTATTTCTAATTGTATTTCGGTTGTAATAAGACATTTGAATTTTTTGTTGATTGTGTTGTTCTGTTATTCCTGCAGTAAAAGTAAGGAAGCTTATTTAAATAATATAACTTTAACTTTGTTGTTTTTTTTCTTTAAACATTCAGACCAAGGCAGCCTTCTGGATGGAGTGGTCTCAGGTCAAGACAATTTATTTTTAGTACTTTTGATATCATGGCCCTCCTCTGAGACATTGCAAAGCTGTCTGGCTTGCTCTCTCCAAAAGGTTGCCGACCCCTAGACTGTCTATTTATTTATTTATTAATCCAATACATTAGCCATGAGGCCAAAATGAAAAAAAAAGAAATGAGAGGTAAAAGATATAACAAAGTGAAGTGGCCACTTGTAGAAAATGGGAATAATCAAAACATTACTGAATTGAATGTGTTATAGACAAGTGTATGGTTGCAAGAAAGAAATACAACAGCAGCAGAAATAGATTTACATGATTTATTTCAACAGGAACGTGAGAGTTTGGGACAGCTACCTTGTGGTATAATTCATAAGCCGGCTTCGGATCTAGGTCGATCTCTCATAGTAGTTCACACATGTTGACAGTGGCGCTCCCTTGCTGACAGCTCGGCCTGACCGTGACAGGTCTCTTCCCTGGCCACCTGTTGACTGTCTGTTGTATTTCCCCGTGACCCCTTTTATGGCGTTTTTTTTTTATGGCTTAACAGGCTCGAAAAACGAAGCGAGTATAATTAGGAGGGAAGCATTTTTATTGGACGAAAAATAGAACACTTTAAATATTATTTTATTTTTCGACCGGAACTCGTGCGTCAGGAACATTTGTAAACAAAGATAATGGTCCTTTTGTGACGGGGCTTTGTCCTGTTCACATCTGGCTCTCGCTCTTGAGTATGTTAGTTTATTTGCCTCTAAATCAGCCGAGATATGTCTTATTTTATTTTATAACAAATGTAGCTGCAATGACAGAAAGGCATTCACTTGTTTTAATTTTCCTGTCTACTACGTCTTCAGGGTTTTCATTGATCATGAAGATAGTGAGAGACACACATTGTACACAAGTACAGTTACTACATGCCAATTAAAACAAAATGTATTTTGGTCTCCTTTTTGAATATGTCTAAAAGACAACGACTGCTGAAAGAGGGAGTGTTTCATTCATTCACTATCCGCTGTGAAAAAGAATATTTCCATATATTCATATAATGTTTAAATTTTTAATAGTTGTCTTGTGGTGGAGTTATACTGGTTTTTAGTAAAATATTTTTTTAAATCAATGTCATCAATTGAATTTACTATTCTAAATACCTATATTAAATTGATTCTAAGACCTTCAGGATAAGGCATATTTTTAATTTCAGGAATCATTTTGGTAAATCTTTTTTGTACTTTTTCTAACTGGTTTATAATGTCAAGTATAAAGCAACTACGCACAGGAAGTATAGACTAAAATAGAACATACTAGTGATAAAGGTTTCTTTGTAGTTCATATACAGTGGGTTTTATTTTGAATCTAGTTGCAGTGACTTAGTCTTTAGGTCATAATTACTTCCAAGTATTCTTTTTGGTGATATGTAACACAAAGACCGAGGTGAAGTTGCGGATTTTGACTAAAGATGCATGACAGCACATTTTTTAATGTTAAATCTCAAAAGCCATTTCACTGACCAGGCATATAATGCATCCAATTCATTCTGCAGATTGTGCTGAATATGTAAAGAGTTTGATGATTGGAAACTAACATACATTCTCTGTATGTGGTCCATTTCTCAAGCAAAGAAGTCTATGAACACTACCTTGTGGGATGTCATTAGTTAAAGACTTCCATTGTGAGACAGCTCCTCTTACTGGAACAGATTGAAGTTTACCCTTCCAGAAAAGATGGGCACCTCAAAGTGGTGTAATGATTAGCAAACATGACCGAGTAGCGAGTTCGATCCTCACTGGGTACCCCATACTTTCGGCCTTGTGCCACATCTGAGCTATGCTTGGAGAAATCACTACCCTTCCAGAAAAGAGGAAATCAACTTTCCCTAATATTACATGCTGACAATTAACAGTTCTTTATGAGGTACTGTATATCAAACTTTGAAAAAAAAAAAACAAAAAAAAAACTGGTAAATATTGATGCTGTGCTTATCCAACTCTTGTCAAAGGTTTGTACATTTCTCATTGAATTTTTACAAACATTTCAGCAGAAAGCCGTGTTGAGAGAGATAAAATTTTGTTAACAGCAATTCAAGTATTTGTATTCAAATCACATTTTCTGTAATTTTACAAGTAGCACTGGACAATAATTGCTAGCTTCAGTTATTACCATAAAAAAGGTGGGGGGATATTTTTTCCAATCCATTGTTAAACATCCTTCATTTAGAAAAGTATTAAAAATGGACCAGAAGTTGTTAGAATTGGACCAACATTTTTTTGTATTGAAAATATTGGCCAAATCTGGAGATGAAAAAAATTTGGAAAACTTTGGAGGCTTTTTATTTTTTTTTCTGTAAAATGAATGACAGAAAGGCATTCACTTGTTTTATGTTTCACGTCTATTAGATCTCAGTATTAAAAACTATGAACAAAAATAATGGAAATAAAGATACTTCTACAATGCTTTGCTTGGATTTAACATGGGAGAAGGAAATCTTTGGCTGTGACAAGGCTCTTAAGTTATATTCTCCTTATAATTTAATGTAGATTGTCTAAGGTAATGTTTAAAACATTTTATGCTGTCTTGTACTTAAGTAGGTTGTCACTTGTAACATTGATGCTTATCATTAAATATTTGGTGTGCAACTGGGTTTTTTTTTTTTTTTTAAGGGTTTGTCTTACTGGGCTTTCCATGACAACTTCTAGTTGAGATATCTAGGTTAGCAGCAGTTATGATGGTTTTTTTTTTTTTTTTATAGAAATTTTTAAAATTATTTCACCCCAAGCAAGGCAATAAAACTCCTAAGGTACTGTAAAAAAAAAAAAAAAAAAAACCATAAAAGAACAGGAATTAAGAAAATAACACTTGACATTAATCTTCAAGAATTTAAATGCAAAGAGGATTGGAAAGCAAGAGGCCAGAAGAGTTCCACAAGCAAGAAGTGTGAGGGAAGAAACTAAAAAATAATCCAATATGACAAGGGGTGAGTAGACAGTGTGTGGGTGAGTTCAGTTGATATTTAAATAATAAAAATTTAATACTTTAGCCAAAGATTTAGGAGATTAGGATTTTTAGCAAGCCATCTATCATTTTCTGTATTATTATTATTATTATTAATATTCACTGAATGATATGCACAAGCCAATAGCAATGTTTGAGCCATTAAGATCAAAGCCACCAAATAATATAGTAATTTTTATGATGTCTTTGTAAGTATTCAATTTTCCTGTTGACAATTGTTTCTAAATAGCAATGGCATTTCTCTTTCAGTTTACGGTGTGGTACCCGATATGACCAGAGAGGGGGGCAGTATTCCAGTTACTTTGACTCTTCAAGAAGCAACTGGTAAAAATGTTCTTCTTTTGCCAATGGGTTCATGTGATGATGGAGCCCATTCACAGAATGAAAAGATCAATAAAACAAATTACATTCAGGGAGTACGTATTTCCTCTTTATTTCTTTCAGTCAAGAATCTTGGTTCTCCCTTAGTTAGATATGAAGCTAACAGAATTTATTTTCACCATAAATAAAATATTAATAAGAAATTACCCTAATACATTTGTAGCCTGTAAGAAATTACTGTATATTTCCACATATAAGACGACTTTTAAATCCCCAAAGTCACCATTAAAAATAGGGGGTCATTTTATACTATTCTAAATAAAAAAAAAAAAAAAAAAAAAAAAAAAAAAATTAGTGCTATAAAAACCAGTAACATACATGAAAAGATTCACATTATCAAATAAACTGATAATAAAAGTAATAAAACCATTTCTACCTTATATATTACAGACATAGCTTCATAATAAATTGCCTATTCGAAGAATAATTCCATTTCAATGAAATTAACTCGTATCCATGCAAGCTCAGCTGAGAAAATGTAGTTATGATTGCGTTCACAGCAATGGAATGTGCTGTTATCATACATTAGCATACTGTTATTAGCAGTATTTTGATGAAGTATAAGTAAATACACATTAATATACCAGGCTGTTGACAACTGCTTAGATATAGGAAAAGAATAATAAGTATTCACAAGAGATCAAGTGATGAAATGTAAACAAAAAGATGATTTACCTTTTAGGAAAAACATGATATCGAATCAATTGTTTTTTTTTTTGTTTATTTTGAAGGATACAGTAACAATGTCATCTTTATATAATCAGCCTTATACTACAGGTATAGGATAAATTCATGAAAATTTTTTTTTTTTTTAAAAAAAAAAAAAAAAAACAAATAAAAAAAACAACAAAAAAAAAAACAAAAAAAAACTAGCCTTATCTAAAGGTCACAAATATACGTTAATAAGAAAGCTTGTTAATGTTTTAAAATTTATAAAATCTTTCTCTTACAGTAATTTTCTAATACTGAGGGTTTGTTATGTTTTTTTTTTTATTAATCTATAAAAAGAAGAAAAAAAATTGTGCTCTTCAAAAGTGATTAATTTTTTCTTTTTCTTCTTTTCAGAGTAAACTTTTAGCAGCTTACATGGATGAATTGGCTCAGTGTCAGTGAGACAGCAAAATAAATTTATAAAAGCTGAAATAAATTTTAAAAAAATAAAAAAAATGCTGAAATAAAATTTTGTATGAAACAGAAAAATATGTTTTAAATATTTAAGATTTTGTTTCATTTATTGAGTGAAGGAGTAAAATTTGTAAACTGTCCTTCCACACTTTTTAAAATCCGTCATAGGCAACACTGAAGTGGCTGCAGTCATTTTCACTATAGAAGACCATATGCATAAATTTAGTAATGAGGAAAGTGTTTTTTTTTTTCTTTCTTCTTGAGAAAAGATTTCACAGTTAAATATGAAATCTTTGTATATCAGTGATGCAACAGTGATTTTTTTTTTTTTTTTAAATATTTCTTTAGGGAAAAAAAAAAAAATTATCAACGTCCTGTTTCTAAAGCAAATGATACACATTATCTTCCATAGTGAAAATCAATGGCTTAAAGTGATGAAAATTCAAGAATTGTACTTGATAACTGTTTATGTGATTATGTATAAGAAAATGTGAGGGTTTCCTTCCATCCTCACTTGTTTAAACAAAATTTTAATAAACACTATTTTCCTTTGAGTGGCATTCAAAAAGGCAAATTGGATGAATGTGGCTTTGCCCATAATTGTCTTAAATGATAGAACCATGAGTAAAGTTTTTGCATATTTGAAAGTATTATTGCAAAATTAACATTAACATCTGTAAAAAGCAAGCCATTTAAATAATGCTGTATAATCAGGTCTTGATATGAGGTTTATTCATCTGGATAAAGTGAAAACGATGCAACAAGTCATCTAAAACACAAGGTGTGTTGGTGTGGAGTTAATATCAAATAGCTGGATACTTTTCAGACAAACCTATCATTAATGCATTATCACAAAAATATTAAAAACAAACTCCAAGAGAATTACGATGATTATTTTTATTCTTACCAAATGATATGGAATACAATTGCTGAGAATGAATTTCTTCCCAGAAAGCCAGACAATTCCAATTACCAAAATATCTTGCCAAAAACAAATGCAGGTGCTCCTTGCAATAATTAGAAGAAAAGTCAATTTTCCATTGAGAGGAAAAATGTTCATATTTAATAATTATATATATATATATATATATATATATAAAAAACAAAAAACGATTTGGTCATAGAAAATTTTTTTCTAAAAGTTCAGTCTCTTAAAACCAATTAAGATTTTACAAAAAGATAAAAAGCAGCTTTTATTCTTCAGAGAAAAACAAAAAAAAAGAAAAAGCTATCACAATTGGTCATAAATCCCCCCCCCACATCTTTCCTTGAAGTTTAAAAGGATATAAGCTATTAAAAAGAAAAAAAAAAAATCCTCAAGTCCCAGTAGTAGAAAAATAGTCCCAAATCTTATACATGTAGACATTTATCTTTGCGAATGAGTCAAAGTGTAAATACCAGAAGGAAATAAAAACCATGATGGAACTATGAAGGTAAGGAAATGTCTAATGAAATGTTGAACTTTCAAACCAGAGTTCATGCATCAGGTGCCACTCAACCATCTTTAGACAAGGCCAAATGATTTAGATTAGAATTCAAACACTAAAAACATGATTTTGAGCATGTAAAAGATGATGTTTTCAGACATCTGACAATAATGTCTCTTCAAATGAGGAAACCATTTAAGATTTCAAATGAAAATAATCTTTAATAAGTTAATAGATTGTAAAGTTAAAAAAATAAAAACTCAAAATTCTCAACCACGATTAAATAAAACTGTAGCACCAGAGAGGAAGCCTAAAATAAAAAAAAAAAAAAAAAAAAAAAAAAACTCATATTTAAAGATGTGGAAAGAAATGAAAGCAGCACCCCAAAATATGGTGCATTAAAATTCTGCTTTGCAATGAAATTAAAACACCTTTGTCAACTGAAGGGAGCACAGTGGAACAAACAAGTTGATACAATATTCACTGCTTATTGAACGGGTTTGAAAAAAGATCAGAGGTTGCCTATAAATGTGAAGTTCTAGAAGTTTTTTTTTTTTTTTTTTTTCCTACAAAGAATAATCTTAAAATTGATAAGCAGCCCTTGAATTCTAACTTGGAATTTAATTCTCAGAATTAAAGAGATTTTGTTGTTAAAAAAAATAAATAAACAAACATTTTAATATTGAAAGCAAGAAATTAACTTTGTTGCCCAAGAATTGGCAAAGAAATAAGCAAATCCAGCATCATGTGTGGGTGGATTATGTTATGGGGAGGGAGAAAGGCCATCAAGGGAAGAATGAGTCGATACAAGATCATTCCATGAATTGGGATGATGATTGATATTCCAGCAGGTTAGACTTTAATGGGTATAGGTTTTCAGCAAATGTCGTGGTTGGTCAGTCTGGAAAGAAAAGAAATCAAATCAAATATTTCTGTTGCTTAAAAAAAAAAAAAAAAAAAAAAGAGTTGCTAACCCTTTCAGATAAACATTAGTGAGAGTACAAAAGTAAATAGAAGAAAAAAATATACACACAAGCATTTGCCCAGAGTTGAAATGGAATATATGAATAAGAGGAGATATTTGCATTAATAAACTTAAAAGGCTCAAGTTTCCTCAGAAGACAAAATTTGCCAAGGAAGTAACTAAGAACATTAGAAAGTTATGAAATCAAAGAACTTGGAAAAAATTTTTAAAAATTTAAATGGATTTTGTTCAAACCCAACCAAGAAAAAAAAAAGAAAGATCAGTTTAAGAAAAAAAAAAAAAATCATCAACCTGTTAAAATTATGTAATTGAAGAGTTCTCTGGCAGATATTAGGCACTTATGACTGAAAGATATGGTTTTAACATTTTGTAATAATACAAGTACTTTTGTTCTGTCACGACGCACATATATATAAAAACATTTAGAGGTAATCAAAAGGTGAACATTTGAAAATTTAGAAGTAAGCCACAGTTACTAGCTGTACGTCTACCCTGGCCACTCCATATTCAAGCTCAATCCCCTCAGCTGATCGTAGAGTTGATCACTTCAGCCCAAGTTTAGTCTCACTTAACGTTGTAATTAATTGATCACAAGACTGACTTGGTCTGAATGGTTGACTGGAATCAATGACTTGGTTTGGTCAAATCAGAAAAGTCACAAGAAAAAAGAAAAAAATAAATTGGATAGAAGAAAAATATTTATATACAGTTACTTGATACAAAGTTGATGGTAAAGTTATTGATGGCTTAAGCAGGACTATACTCTCCTTGCAATAACTCTTGACCCTTCCCAATTATTGTGACACACTGTTGTTTGAATTTTGGAACAAGGCTTCAAGTCAGAGGCTTTTTCTTCAGGACATCAAATCACATGAGATCAGGCAAAGTGGTGGTACTCTGCTATCTCTGCAGCAGTCTGTCTATGGGGTCTCTGCCATCTCTGTCTCTCTGTCATAGTCTCTCAGTGTTCTCTTTTTATACACCCCTGCACAGGGGCTAGGGTGGGGCATGATGTGCTCTGGGAATGTGTGTTCCCCAAATAAATAATCAGGGCTCTCCCTGCAAATGAGTCCCTCCTCCCTCCTGGGCCTTCTTTTGGTCACCTGATCCTTCCTGCTTTGTACAAGTGCCTCTCACCATCACTGCCCAAAGGGCATGGAAAGTCCTTCGCCTTCCCTGAAATTCCACGTGGGCCTTCTCCTCCTTGGTCACCTGACCAGAACTGTCCCCCAGGGGCTAGGCATGGTCTAGCCCAATGGCTAAATTTTAAGTCGTGTTCAAAATTCTCTCATTGTGCTTTTGTATTGTGGTTGTTTTCACATCTGGAATTTCATTTTTTATACCCTCATCAACTCTTTGGTCAACAAGTGGCAAAAAGGGAACAATCCCTTCATTTTTGGCAGATGAATCATTGTCTTTTCTATTTTTTGCTGGAAACCTGTCTGCTTTTAAAAATTAATCCTTATCAATCAACCAAACTTGCAGCCAGGGGGTCCATCTTTTGCTTTGTCACTCAATGGTCGTAAAAAATATCATTTATTTCTTTCTGGGAGGTCCTTGGAAATTCAAAATTGTTTATCACTTAATCTCAATTTTTTTGGTCTGTTTTACTCCTCTCATGGATGAGAAATTTAATTACCTTCTATTTTTTTTTTTCTCTCCAATATAAAAAAAAAAAATTAAAAAAAAATCCTTTTCTTTCATTTTTCCTCATCCACTCATCGGTATATCTTCAGTCTATTGGAATTTAGTGTTTTTCAGTTTACTAGCGCCTTTCCAATAGTGTCACATCTCTCCCTTACCATTCCTGGCACTTACGAGCAAATGACACAAAAAGAAAATTCAAATCCTATTATTGACTACCAATCTACTTAGAATGCATCCATTTAAAAAAAAAAAAAAATGCAAGATTTCCAAAAGTTCTTTCTCCATATACTAATCAACATCTTAAATGTTTTTCTTTTTCTTGAATCATTTTAAATGTTTTTTTTTGTTTCTATCATGCATTGTTTTAATATATGGAGTTCGCAGCACACCTTAAAGTCTTTTTTCTTTTTTTGGGGTCTGTCCTGTTTGGAGACTTTGGTCTCTCATCAATAGGTGTTGGCACTGGGCCCACCTCCTGTCAAATCCAGCCTGGTTTCTTTTTCATATTGGTTCAACCTGTTTGGGTAAAAAACACTGCATGGCACTCCCTCCCCGGGCTGCTGCAAATTCGCGAGAATACCATCAGCTGATTTCTCCCTATACCTTTTTAGTTTCCATTCTTTGCTATCACTATAACAGAAATAATTATCAGAGTACCTATTGATGCTGACCAGTTCATTATGGTTTTATTTTCCTTCCCAACTTATTTTCCACTCAATTGATCCAGGCTAATTCTGTCTACAGGCTCTAGCAACTTTGCTATTTTCTTTAGGGTACTTTCAGTGATTTTGTCCACCATGGGTTCCCATAATTCCATCCAATTACTTAGGATTTTCTTTAAATGTTTCTAGGAGTGAGTCCCATTCCTCATACTTTTCTTCCACCTGATAATATGGTGGAAATGAAATGGACACTCCAAAGGATGAACATCCCAGTGGTATCATGCCCAAGGTTCTAGTGGGTTCTCCCCTACACAGATCAATTTGTTTCTGGGTAGCAATTGCCCAGGTCCCATCAGAGATACTAATAGCCTGGGGCAGCACAGCACTCATGAGTATTTCTATTTTAATTTTTATCTTATGGCCTTTAAATAACTAGCACACAAGTGTTTGTAATTGCCCATAAAATAAATGGGACTTGATGTACATGTGCCCAACGCATCCGCCGGACACCTTGCCTCTTTGGCTGTTAATATCATAAATTTCATCCTAGCAGATTTCATTGCCATATACTCTGTTTCAATTTGGTACTTAGCCACTATCTCCAATCCTGTACTGCTTTTCTTTGATTTTCCCCCTCATCTGATCATTGGTATATCTGTCTATCAGAATTTAGTATTTTTCAATTTACTAGCACCTTTCCAATAGTGTCACAGCTAAGTGACAGTTTGAAATTCAAAATACAGTCAGTTTAATACCAATAAAAGTTAAAAACTTAAAAATGGTCGGTTTAAGAAAAATTTCTCAGCAACATATGAAATTATAATTATAGATTTGGGGGGTGGAGTTGAAAATTTCTGGCCTTCCTCAGGTGTCCATTTTATTATGTTGAACCATGTGCATTTCTTTACAAGCACTTATCAGCATGTTTTTTTAAACTAAGTGATCTGGTATTTCTTTTTTGATCAGTGACTTCCATATATTATTGGTATCTAGTCAAGTCTAGTGTCATACTTGGGTGATAATGTATCGTTTGATTCATGATTGACCAAGCAGAAGGTTTTCTGCAGTAGACTGATTGCTAACCAGGGCTCCTGATATTCAACCCATAGCTGGGGAGAGAAGAGATAGATTCATACCTTTCCTAAGGGTATTGGCATGTATTTGAATGTAATGAACTCAACTGACCTATTCCTCAGTATGAGCTGCTATATATTATAACACCATGCTTCTAGTAGATTTAAACTAAGAAAAAAAAAAGTGCAGTAACAACAGATGTGATGTGTTTGGGAAAGAATGCACATGCCTCAACTGAGATTCAACTTTTAAAAATAAAAACAAACACCTAAAAATGGCCCAAGGAGAAGCAAGTGGAAAAAAAATTTAGTCCAAATCAGTACATTGAGAATTCTTTAGTCTTATAGTAAATGTTAAAACCTAAAGAAAGGTGTTTTACAAGATGAGAGTACTGAAGTTTAAGTCAGTCCAAATGGTGAATATGGAAACAAAAAGCTTGGCTTTCAAAAGAAACTCAAACATTCTTTACAGATTCAAAACTGCATTTAGGCTGAAAGGAATTTTACTCCTTTTTCATTCTGAAGAAATTAGAGGTAAGTTAAAATATGAAAATAAAAATATGAAAATAAAAATATTCCACACTTACAAATGATTTCAGGAGGAAAAAAAATAAAAACAATTACAAATTCTACCTTAGGTTTGTCAATTGTCACAATCTAGTTTTCAAAAGCTAATCTAGTTAAACCAATAACATCTTCAATCCAAGTGAAATTTTTTATTAATAAAAAATTCTTAAGAAATGCAGGGGAAACAGGCAAAGTTAAAAAAAAAAAAAAAAAAAGCAGCAATATTGATAAATAGGTAGAGGGAATAATTTGATGTCATTTCCTAAGGATTAACTTGAAAATATCATTTAGGCTTCTTGTAAAATCTTTGTAACTTTATAAATCAAGATGAGCATTTCGATAGAAAGGTGAGCTATAAATTATCTCACGTTTCATTCTTATTCCTGTTAGTTCATGGAGTTAATGTTTTTCCATCAAAGTAGAATTTGTCTTGCATTTTGGGATAAGTTTATTTTTTTAAATTTATTATAGATTGATTTATTTGAAACATTGTTCTTTTTTGTTAGGCAGATGGCTAAAATATAGAGTTTAAAATGAGAACAGTAAAAAAAAAAATTAATGGGACAAATAAAGTGAATCATTTGAAGCAAAATTGCTTTCCAGGTTTTATTGACATTAGCATTAACTTAATTTCTTTTTAAGAATTTAAAAATTAAAAATCTTAAAAAAAAACACAAAAAAAAAAAACAATTGGGTCCAAATAAAATTTCTTCATCCATATCAAGTTATTAAAAAAATACATACCACTTTCTTCAGCATGCTTGTTGAAATGAAAAAAAGCTTGCAAAGATCAAAGTCAAAAAATCCCATGATAAACTGGAATGTATGAGATGAACCAGGTTGTGTATAAAATTTAGCCATTAATAAAATTCCCAAAATGCCATAGAAAAACCATGAACCAACAAAATTAGTTAAAAAAATAAAATAAAGTTCTATTTACTGTTTCTTGATAAAATTAACATCAAGCCCAAATGATTTATACATAAAGAAGGGAAGCAACTTTGACAAAATAGCACATCGATATTTGGACTGCTTACATTGTTCCAATGCACGTCTTATTCCACAGTAACACTCTTTGCTAGATTCCGAGGACAGTCAACCTAGAACAGAAAGTCAGTAGTTATCTACCTTGGGAAGAGATTGCAGATTCTGCAGGAGAATTATTGGGGAATTGCAGGTTCAACAATTTCACACTTAACAGTCAAATACTTTTATATCTACATTTTATTTGATTTATTTATCTTATGAATGTCTAACGCAGTTAAGGTGAGAAGTAGAAATAAAGCTGGTGACATTTTTTACAGTGTGCTTATCCATTTTCATAATTGTGTTAATGAAATTTAACAAAGTAGAATATGAGGATGAAGCTATAGCATCAATTTTTCAAGTGAAGACAAGACCTGCCTTTCAAAAAAAATATTTGACATTCAAATTTTTTTTTTTAACCTGGGATTGAATAGTAGATTTTTGTACCCATTTTAAAGTTATGAGCATTTTATTTTTTATTTAATATACAGTAATACTTGACTATGTCATTTCAGCCTACATCAAATTTGCCACTTTTATGGAGTAAATTTCAGTTCAGAAAATGTCTATGTCACCCATGTCATTATAAAAGGTTGTTAAATAAATTTTTTTCTTTCAATTACATGTAAAATACATAAAAATTACTAGAAAATAATGTCTCAATGAGATTTATATTCTTTGGTGTGTGGTTTATGATAATTATAAGATATTTGTTGTCATACTTAAAGCTTTTTAAGGACAAATCACAAAGTAAATAATTTTATTACGTTCATTATTCTTGAAAAATATGACCAAAATGTGGTTTTAGGTTTAATGATATTCTTTTAACAGCTTTACAGTGTTTGTCCTCATTTTTACACCATGGCTTTTGGAACCAATTAATAGTGTAAGGCAGGATATATATATATATATATATATATATATATATATATATATATATATATATATATATGTATGTGTATGTGACAATGATATATAAATTTTTATATATATCAAGAAACAGTTTTGAAGGAAAGATATATGACAAAGTGGAAAAAGTTTTAGTGGGATGCTTTTTGTCCCTTAGGACTTTATCGTACTAAGTCTGTTTATGCTGATGCATCAACATAAACAAACGTAAGCCAATGAAGTCCTATGAAAACCTTTTTTTCATTTTGTCATACGCATGTGTGTGTGTGTGTGCGCGTGTGTGTGTAACTACATTCAAAATTAAAAGAAAAAGGAGTAGCCATTGATTGAAAAGTATACAAATTAAAATTGATATTAAGCAAGTCTATGTAATATTTCTTAGAATGTAGAAACAAAATTCCTCAGTTTGGAAAAAAAAAAAAAAAAAAAAAAAAAATCAATATTTGAGTAGACAAACTTTTTGTTTGTGATTTACAAAAATAAAGTGATAACATGTTCAGTAACTTCATCAGTTCAATGTTAGGATTGTGTACAGTTCAAAGATTTTTACTCAGATTTCTAAGTTTAAATTGTCCACTATTCAAAAAAAAATGTTAATGTTTGAAAAATCTTTATATTAATACCATCTTGCTGGTAAAAATGAAATACATGCAATAATTTTTCTTTTAAGCATGTCAACATTAACATATTGCAAGTAAATAAAGTATTTAACTATGAATAATAAAAAGCAAAATATTTGCCAAGTGGTGAAGATTAATGATAAAAATCAATTGTAAATTCGATTCCAAGACTAAGTAAGCAAAACAGAGAAGTTAATGCAAAGAGGTTATATTTTTATGAAAATCTAATGATTTTATATTAATGTCTTCATCTTTTTTATTTAAATGTTCTGCAGATTGTTTACAGTCACAATTTGCAGGCTTTGTATGAGCAGTGTTAGCTTAACACATTATTTCGAGACAATGGAAACATATGTCAATCAATGTGATTTTGAGCAACTGATCTTAGATTAAAATCAGAAAATTAGTAGCAACATGGTTGAGCCATTTTATAAAAGAATAATTCATAGTTTAGGTGATGAAGTGGGTGGGGGGATGAAAAGGAAAAATGATAAATCAGAAAGAGTCATTGAAGATTTGTACAAACCTTGAGTAGTTTAAGAAGTTGTTCATATAACAGCAAAGATGGTATAAAACTGCATTTATTAAAAAAATTCAAAATCTGAGAGGAGGAGAAACAGAAAGGAAGAGAGAGCACACAGAGCAAAAAAGAGACAAGGAGAGAGATAGAGAGAGAGAGAGAGACACACACACACACACACGTACACACACAGAGCAAAAAAGAGACAAGGAGAGAGAGAGAGAGAGAGAGAGACGTACACACACACAGCAAAAAAAGACACGGGTGTGAGCGAGAGAGAGACACAGGGATGTGCAAGAGAAAGAGGTGCACACGGGGTGCACGAGAGGGGGAGAGAAAGAGGTGCACACGGGGTGCACGAGAGGGGGAGAGAAAGAGGTGCACACGGGGTGCACGAGAGGGGGAGAGAAAGGGGTGCACGAGAGGGGGAGAGAAAGGGGTGCACGAGAGGGGGAGAGAAAGAGGTGCACATGGGGTGCATGAGAGGGGGAGAGAAAAGGGTGCACGAGGAGGGGGGAGAGAAAGAGGTGCACACGGGGTGCACGAGAGGGGGAGAGAAAGAGGTGCACACGGGGTGTGCACGAGAGAGTATGACTCACACAGTGAGCAAAAAACAAGAGAGAGATAGATATATACACACATGGATAGCAAAAAAGGAGACACACAAGCACACATATACAGAGAACAAAAAAGTGAGAGACAGATGCACACACATGTGAACACACACACACACGGTGAGCTGTGCTACAATTAAAAAAAATAAATAAATGCTACAAAATTATCTTCAATTCAGTAAAGATCTGGGAGAGATCCTGAACTTTTCAAAGTTGACATTCATTATCCCCAAGTATGAGGTTACAAAGAAATGTTTGAGCTCTATTTGCAAATTAAATCTTTATAAAATTTCAGCAAAATTTATAAGACAACTATGTCAAATTGAAAGAAAAATCACATTTTTGTCACATTTCTTCAACATTTGCTTAGATTGCTTACTAATTTCACCAAAGAAAATTCATAAACAACTTAGTAAGTATGGCATTTTTAAATTGATAATTCTTGTACAAGTTTGCAGTATTTTTCTTATTAAATTTGATGCTCTGAAATCCAGATTTTTGGTTGCAAAGAAATAGAAAGTATATAAAATCCACACAAGTGGAAGAAAGTTCAGCTGATGGAGTCGGCTTACGTCATATCCTCGTTTGAGTGCAATATGGAAGGAGAGCAGTTGCATAGGGATGACTGTTAGAACACCTTGGAGGCAATCGACAGTGTGGGGAACCTCAACTGGTTTATAGGCAAGTTTACGTGTCTCCTCATCATGTTGGTTGCAGATGACTATCGGGCGACCCTAGAACAGTAACAGTCAGCAACCAAATCAGAACTTGTACAACAAACTAGTTTTTTTTTTTTGTTGTTTTTTCGTTGGAAGAAGGAAAAAAGATTAAAAGGAAACAAGGACCACTGAAGTCAAAATGAACTGGACAAGATTTCATTGAATAATGAATTTAAGATATCTACATCTTATAAAACTTCAAAATGAAAAGGTAAAGAATGAAAAGTAGAAAATCAGTAATCTTAAGTAGCAAGTTCAATCCCATGATGGGATACCAAATGGCTTTTGAAGAATATTTTCAAATTATTTTTATCTTATTTTTTTAAGTATATGTACAAATTCTTAAGACCTACTTGAGCATATATTAATTAGGAAGTATGATAAACCAATGATAGATTTGTAGAATTTACTTTGATCAAGTTTTAATGTAGAAAAGAAAAAAACATAATCAATGGAAACAAGAGAAAATAAGTTTTGATTGATTTGTTTTCTATGACTCTTGCAGGTTATTTAAAGCTAGAAAATATGTTTAGATTAAAAGAACTTTTTTTTGACTTAGTGATATAAATCTTACTAATTAACCCATAACTTGGGGGGGGAAGAGTTGCATTCATACCTTTCCCAAAGGTATTTGTAAGTAAGTGAATATAATGAACCTAACTGGAACTGAAACTCAGCTCTCCAATTAACAATTCTGACCCATTATCTATTACACCATGCACACATCCAAGCTTACAGCACCTGATATTCCCAAGCAGTCATACATCTAGGTTCTGACTAGGCTTAATGTTGCTTAACTTCAGTGATTGTATGGAAACCTGTGTTTCAATGTAATGTGGCTGTAAGCAAAAATAAGTTTTAATAGGGAGAAGAAGCTTACAGGAAATTTATGTTCAATTTTTTAATGGCATTTTGTGCAATTACTACCTTCCTGCACAGAGAAAAGCTTTTTGACAGAAAGAATTCAACTTTGATGGAAGAACAGCATTCATTTGTTTATAATACTGAACTTGTAGTCTTGACAAATATTCTGATCCATATTCTAAAATGCCCAAGCCAGCATATCAGTACATCTGAAGATGAAAATGTTACTAAAATTCTTTCCAATTAGTTTTCCATTGGTTGACTAAAACAAAAAAGACAATGTCTGAAGTTCATTTTCCCCCTCCCCCCACCAAATTAATGTTAGATTTGTGTTAAGAAATTGGCTGCTTTTTATGTAAATGCACTATCCAGAGATCCATTAAAAACTTTATAATATTCTCTTCTCTTTTGTTACACATCTATAATTCTTTTAGGAATGCAAAATACAACCAAAAGTCAAACTTGACACTGCTGGGCTAAATATGCTGCAATCAGTATTTAGCCAATGTGTTGCAAAATAATAGTTAAAGCAAAAAATTGAGCTAAGAAGAATGGCTAAAGTGAATAAATTTTTCAGCCATTCTTGATAGAAACCTTTAGCACACTGCATTATTTAATATTATTTTCTTCTCCACTGCATTTTTTCTTAATTGCAGTAACTTCAGTTAATTTCACTTAAATGTCTTTTTTGTTACCTTAGCTGGATATGACGACATAACTATGAAATTCAAACAAATTCAAGTTCAGTGGTAGGATAAACTTTTTGTACAGCAAATGAAATTATATAGAGAGTGATAAAAGTTAAGTGCAATGTGATTATTTTTAATTGAAAATGAATTTGTCAAATGAGACGCCATCTATATATAAAATTTTGTGACTTCTGTTAGTTTGTCCGTCCATCACACCCTCTAAAATAACCATACACTGAACAATCAAAACCAAATTTTTGAGAGAAGTGGAAAGTACAAAGTACAGTCAGTTTTACTAGGGTACGTAGCTTAGTACAATAAATTTTCATTAATTATTTTGGAAAAATTAAATGTTTTATTATTTAACATATAAATACTTTATTCTAAAAAGAGTTTAATGATTAAAATAAATAGTTATTTAATATAAATGCAATATTGTTTTTTGGTATATCTTAAGTTTTTATATACATTTCATTCTAGTAAAATATAACTCACAGTGTGTTGCAAAAAATTCTAGTTATTTGAAAAGTGTGAAATTTTTTTTCTCAATTACAAATTAATTTGCATTTTATTTCGGAACTAATTTACTGATGCCATAAAAAATGACAACACATTTTGCTTGGTGCTTTTAATATTATTAGGTTTTTACATGTGAGTGAAAATATTTCCCCCAACAACTGTCATTATCAGTGAAAGGGCGATAACTCTTAGCGCAAAAGGTTAAAGATAAAAACCATTTGGTATGTATTATTGAAAGATGCATCTCCTGCTTTTCATGCAGCATCATTTAGTTAAAAAATTTTTATTGTTGAATCTGTCCAGAGTTTGAGTCCAGTGCCCCCTCCCCTTTTGCGGGGGAAGGAAAGAGTAAAAGGCATGCCACCGAGTATACAAACCATGCAAGAGGAAGAAAATCACAGATGGAAAATTTTGCATGCTTACATCACATTTCCGCTTTTCAGCAATGTGTAGTGAGAGAAGTTGCAGGGGAATGATGGTGAGGATGCCTTGAAGGCAGTCAATCGTACAAGGAACTGCAATGGATTTGTCCACATAGCTCTGGGTTTCACGATCCCCAGTGTTGCAAATGACAATCAGGTCTCCCTATAAGACAGGAGGAGGCGAAAACATCAAGCATACAAAGCTAGACATGCAAAACTAAAAGGAATAAAGGCTAATAGAAGCAGACAAACATTTGACAATCTTGACAAAGAGGGAGACGGGGAGGGTGGGTTTCCTCATGCACCTTCTCACAAACACACACTAAAACTGAACTGCATAAACTGAACAATTCATTTTTCACCACCCCACCACAAAAAAAAGTAAAAATCTGAACATGCAAAAAGTAACATCTACACGGAATTAATGGTATTGTGACCTGTCAGATACAGTGGGTAATATTCCTACTTCAGTAGGAAAATCTGAAATCAAACTAAGCTGGTTTTTAATTTAAAAAAAAAAAAAGAAAAAAAAAAAAACAGGCGAAACAAAAAGAACCTGATATTTATACAATAACATAAATCTAAACAATTTCCATTGTTTAAGTCAGTAGTCCTTTCCATGAGCAGCAACTTTGAAAAATAGACTTTGTGGTTACAAAGAGTTCTTGCTGCTACTTGGAAATGAAAACAAGACAAAATTGAATAATGGCACAACAGGAAGAGGAATGTAACCCAACATTTCACTTTTAGGTTTGTGAAAATCTTCAAGAATTTGCAAGGTGGGTGGTTTGAAACTTTTAAATTGCCTAAAATTGCTTCCTTAATAGGCCTTGTAAAATTTATGTTGAATGACAGGGAAATAGGTAAATCATTATCTATTGGTCACTGGTAATTATAATCTAAGAATAAGGATAAATCAATGGTGGTTCAAATACTGCTATATCAAACAAAACAGACAAAATGGTGTCTAAGTGGAGTATCCAAAAAAAATGGAGAAAACAATGGCAGCTCAAATTTTCCTACATCAAACAAAGACTCTTGGATGAAGATAAGTGAAAGTCTTGTGACTAAATTGTAAATCACATCAAGTGAGATTCTGGTAGAAAATGAACCAAACAGGTTCTTGTTCACTCTTACCAGGTTGTCTGACAAAATGAAGTTTTGAACAAAGTGAATTGCAAATCATGTCAAACAGAATTGAAGCAGAAATGCTCTTGATGTCTTAGACAAAGACAATTCTTAGTCAAGTCTCCTCAGACTAGTTCAATATATAATGAAACCCACATATGCAAGTGATCATTTTTTATAAATACAAGAAAAATCAAGGAAAATGAGTAAGGCAACAAAGCCTTGCCCAAAAATCAAATTGAACAATACTACCTTAGAATAATTCTTAAACGTCTTCAGATTAGGCAAGAAGAAGAATGCATGAGCCTGTGACTTTTTTTTTTAATACCTATTTTAAGTTTTACAGATATTATGGTTGCCAACTGAACTCTTTTGGAGCCAGATCTAAGCTCTTATTCAATCCATTTAAGTCTTGTAATCTACATTATTTTTCTCTATTAATGTTTATTATTTCATATAAAAGAATAAGAATCAATTGATTATTTACCAGAGGAAAATGAAATAGACAAAAAAAAAAAAAAAAAGAGCTAAATTGGCAATTCTGGTTATTTTTTTTAGAAACTAGAAACAAATATGAGTTGAATTCAAGGATTGATAATTTCAAGTGACTAAAAACTCAAAGTCAGATAAAAAAAAAAATGATTGGATTTATGTGGGAACTTTTTTACCATCTTTAAAAAACTTATGACCAATTATGATGGGGCAAACCTTAGATTGTCTTTAAAATACAGGAGATTGACTAAGAATTCGTAGCTTAAAAATAAAATTGTCTTTTTGATTGCTACAGAATAAAGCATTTTTCTAAAACTAGTGAAAAATTGAAAAGTGAAGTGAGGAAAGGCAAGACACGAAGCAAAAAAGAATTGGAAATGGAATCAGGCAAAAACAACAATAAAACCTTTGGAACATGCAAGAAAAGACAGAAGAGAGTAGAGGTGTCAAAGGTCAAAAATTAAAGAACAAAATTTAAAATTCTGAAAACTGGAGTGCAAAGAGCAAAATAATTTGAGTCAAAACATTTAAAGCTTGAAAATTGTTTTAGGCCTATATGAAAGAACTGCAATAGAAAACAGTAGGAATTTACTAAATTTAATATAAAGTCTGTTTAGTGGAACACTCAGTGAGGCTCAAACTCACTACACTGGGAGGTCACAAGCAGTTCTGTTTCATTTTGAATAGAATAAAACCATTTTGCACTTAGCGCTTCAGTTTTGACAGACATTTATGTAAGATTTTATTAAACTGGTAAAAATTTAAGCTTAACAATGTTAAATTTATATCAAGTTTTAACATTTTCATTTAAAAATTTACATAAGACTTGGCAAAGTGATAAAAATTAAATCAAGACTAAATTCAGATATGTTAATATTTTAAATTTAAAGTTTTAAAAGAACTATGTTAATAAGCTTAAAGATTTTTTCATTAAGATAATAGAAAATAAGTCCATCAAATGCTACATTGTTTTGATTGTCTAGTAAAGCTTCAATCTGCTAACACAAATTTTACAGCCAAGAATATTTCTAAAAATGCTAAGATTGGAACTAAAATGAAGCATTAAAATATAATAATTTAATATAAGGCTTTAGATTTTAATTCAAGAAATTGGAAAAGATTTACTCACATGTCTAGCTTTGACTTGTTGAAGAGCATTCATACATTTCTGCAAAAGAAATTCAATAAAAGTGCTGAGAAAATAAATTATTTGAGATTTAAAAAGTGGAACTTAAATATATTTTTATAGAAAATTGAACAGTCAAGATTATTTTAAACATCAAGTTTGGTATTTGTGCTGACAATTTCCAATTAAATTCTGGGATATGGGGATAGTGTAACGGTTAAAGATCCATGGCTGACATTTTTTTTTTTAAAAAACAAAGACCTGGCAACATTGTGGACAGATAATCTAACTTTAAAAAAAGCATAGATCCGAGATTTTGAACAAAGCTGGAATGAAAGTCATTTAGCTTGCAAATGTCATTCTCTGCATTTAACAATTTTAGATGGTAGATAGAAATAACAAAAGCTTACTTACAGAATAAACTTTATCTCTGGTCACTATCATCATAACGGGCATGGCCTTATCAACAAGGGCAAGAGGACCATGTTTTAATTCACCCGCCATGATTCCTTCTGAATGCATGTAAGTCAATTCCTTGATTTTCTAGGAGTAGAGAAAGAAAGAAGTAAAAATAAAAAATGAACATGCAAATTTGGAAGATTTGAACTATTTTTCCTATTCATGCTAGATTTTAACTTTGAGTTACGACTGCCTCAAATAAACAAGTGAGACCAAATTTAGAACTATCCCCACCACATAGATTAGACACTTGAAGAAAGCTGAATTATCTGAGTATGTGATGTTGGATTTATTTTTCTTGCTAACTACAGGAAGCAATGAATAAATTGTCTAAATTACACAAAAATGAAAATAATGCTGACATCTAATTTTAACAAATATATTTAATTATTACAGAAAAATAACTTGAAATACTAAAGAGTAAATTTATTCAGTAAAATAGCCATGGGCTCCAACCATGGCCCCCAGATGGCTTTGGAGTTTCCTACAACTTTTCTGGACAGTCTCCTTGCTTAAGTGGGTGAATGCTGCCATAATCCTTGCCTTCAATACATCTTTGGTATTACAAAAAATTTTGTTGATCTCTTGCTCAACTGTGCCACACACATAATAATTAAGGGGGTTGTAGTCTGGGGAGCTAGTTGGCCAGATGTAAGGGGTGATGTGGTTTCAGAAATTGTCTGACAGCCATGATTGGGTTCTCCTGCTTGTGTGGCATGGTGCAGAGTTTTGTTGCTAGACATAGTGTCTTCCAGCATCCACCCTCTTAACCTAGGGCAGCACTACCTCAAGACACAACTTAGGCTGTTGATGAGAGCCTCGGACTCAACACCGAGGCCTTCGCCAACAGATTAAGGGTATCTTTTATCAGTACAAGTTTTCTGAGCTGTTGTACATTAATAATCACAAACTGTTTCCAAATCCTCTGCCCTATCATCAGATTTACATGCTCTGAAATGTTTGTATTGGAGTTTCTGGTATGAATGCCAAGCTGATATTATGCCAGCTGTTGATAGATGAAGGTGTGGAGGGAGATCCTGAGCAACAAACTTTGTAACAGAAAATAATTGCCAAAGAAAATATATACACAAATCTAAATAAAGATAAAACTTAAAGAAATCACACGAAAACTAAGGAGTTAATTTTTTTATTAAAATTTCAACTTAATTGTAAAAAAATTCATTGGGATGAGAGTAATTACCAGAGCTCCTTCCAAGCAAGTAGAGAAATTGTAGCCACGTCCCATGACTAAAAGAGATTTTTGTTTATAGAGTTCTTCAGAAAGTGCACGGATCTCTTGGTCCAACTTCAACACTTCTTTAATATCCTCTGAAAAAGAAAATTCATTTTTTTTTTAAAGGGCAGAAATAACTGAAAAAGTTTAAATGAACCAACTTGAATTTTTCACTCATTCAAGTTGAATTTTTGGTAGTTTTATCAAACCAAATCTTAAGAAAAAAAAATTGTTTATAGAAATTTTATGGCAAAATCAAAAGATAAATTAAAAATATTTAATAGTTTATAAAAATAAGACAATTTGTGAAATTTAGTTAAGAATTTTCTGAGAGAAGTTAAATATTAAAAGATAATCTAAATTTCAACAGCCTGAAAATAAAGGCTAAAGAAAATGTTTATACAAAGTTTAAAGGAAAAAAAGAAAATGCTTAACACTTTCCTAGTCTGTCTTTATCTCTGAGATGAGGCATTATGATTATTTACATTATTCAGACTGCAATATTCACAATATTTTGGCCATTGTATGCTCCAGCCTACTTCAGGTTCAAAAGGATTCGGTTCAAAATTCTAACCCTGAAGAAGACCAGAGTGTGCAACAGCTGAAATGTCTTGAATATGACAATGATGAGGAGGATAATAGTCTGAATAATGTAAAAAACCTTCCCAGTTTTTAACCTTTTTCTTATGCAATCAATTTTTTAAAGAAAAATTGATCTCGTGAATGAACATGAATGGTATATCTTGGCCCAAATTGACCATTGTGCAAAATTGTCCATGTTTCTCAAGATATGACAGGTCTACTTCATTACAAACCTACAAAGTAAACACAATAAGATTCATTTAAATCAGGTGATTCTCAAGGTTCCAAATGACATTCTTCTTGCAACAGACTATTTTCTCAATTCTTCTATTTTGAAAACACAAATAATTCCTTTTTCACCATAATTAACTAAGAAGGAAATGCCTCTAATTTCTCCTCAAGATAAAATTCATCCACTTTGATTTTAACAGCCTTCTAGGAGTGAGAGAAATCAGAATTAAATTGGAATCAAGACCTTATTCAAAGCAATTATAACTTATAACCTTTAAATTTTATACATTGTAATTTGTGAAAATTAAAGAAAAAATATGTTTATTTTCTTACCAGGCAGTTTCTTTAGACCTTGGATAATTTCATTCCTCCGTGACTGCATAGAAATTCTGTCTTCACACATCATCAGACCAAACATTACCAAAGAAATAAACTGGCTAGTATAAGCCTGGAAAAAAAAAAAGAAAAGTATTTTCTATAAATATAAAGGCGCATCTTCATATAAAGGGAGATAACTTTTACATGGCAATTTTGTTGATGGTGTTTGTATTAAAAAAAAAAAGAAAACAGATTAATAATTAATACATTTGTTTGTGTTACATACACAGCAAAAAGAACATTTCTTTGTTCATCACATACAAATTATAAATATATATCAATTGAGACTTAAACCCGATTAAAAAAAAGTCTTGCTTGAAAAATTTGCTGTGTTTTCTAGTTTTATTTCATAACCATCTTTTAAACCACATAATATAAAGATGAAACTTGTTAGTTTAATCTCAATTATTAGGATTAAATTATTTTTAGCCAGCTAATGGTAATATTAGCTATTTCCTTTAAGAAAACATTTGGCATTCATTGACCAAGCAGCCAGTACTGCTGTTGGTTGAAATTTATAAAATCTTTTAAAACAATTTTTTAGGAATATATAAGGTTTCTCAATTCCCGTAGCTGTTATTGCTCTTTCCAGTATTGGAGATTTCCTTCCAAACCTTTTGATTGAAGTAGTGTGGAATGTCAACATCTTGATTATATCATTTTCTCCAAGTTACACGTGATATTCATTTTAGCTGTTGCTGCTTTCGAAAGGCCGCATTTGATGTGATTTCTCTTCTGAAGATTAATTGCAACAAAAGATGTTGTACATCAATGTCAAGATAAAGGGTAATTGTCTATTTAAGGGATATACTGGGAATAAGGGATTAGATCCTAAGGAACTTTCTAAGGCAGACAATGAATGAACACACAATTACTACACTGCATGAAATAATGCTACAAGACAGACTACATATTAATTTCCTTAAAATAAAAGTTGTAGAACATTAACCAGGTATTGGGTCTTTATTGATTGTGCATGGAATTTGAAGATATTCCACTTCATTCAAAGAAAGATGAGGTTGAAGAATCCTTTATGTCACACCACATAACTATGGACACAACATTAGATTGGCTGATTGGGATTGCAAAACCCATCACTATAAATGAATCAGTAGCTGTGGTCTTGAAAAAAATCCTATTTAAAACCTTTTTAGGATATTTTAGGTCCATTAAACATTAGATTGAGATGGGCAACAAATTGATAAAAAAAAAAAAATAAATATAGTAAATAAAATTTCTGGAGATGTTAGAAGTATAGAGTTAAATTAAGAGCACATGCAATTCAAGTGCATGTATTCAGGTAGGGAGACAGTTAACTATATAACTGCTGTTCCTTAATGAACTTTAACTACTTTTTTAGATTTTAAGATTAAGTTGTATGGTCTCCTAAAAATGAAAAAGAAGAAAGAAAAACTAAACTACCATTCAGGTAATTTATTTTATTTTTAAACACTGGAGAGTGGAAAAAGTTGAGATATATGCTATAAAAGAAAATTACCCCCCCCCCACACACACTGCTAGTCTGTTGGCCACTTAAAAGTACTTGAATATTCTGAAGCAACTTTTACTTTTAGTATTATTTTGTTACCAGCCTTGTGATAAACCTTAACTCCTTTGTCTCACTAAACATGAGGTAAAGTCAAAAATTATCTGCACTTTTGTCTAAAAATATTTTATGGCAAAAGTGCTGATAATTTTTGACTTACCATCATATTAATATTGAACCTTTCTGGCATGTTTTAGCAAAAGAAATTCAAAATTTACCCCCTCCCCCAAAAAAAACAAATTTTTTCTTGAAGATATTTCATTTCAGAAACTCCAAATATTGAGACAGAAATCAAATTTCACAAAATCTGTTCAAGAAAGCAAAAAGATAATGAAGATTAGGACAGGTAAAAAAAAAAAAAAAAGAGAACACTTACTTTTGTACTGGCAACACCAATTTCTGGGCCAGCATTGATATGAACACCACAGTGAGACTCACGGCAAATGCTACTTCCGACTGTATTAGTTATACCAACAATTAATGCACCTCGTTGTTTACAATAACGCAGAGCCATTAGTGTGTCAGCAGTTTCTCCTAAAAATAGGATGAAGGATTGATTAAATAATGACATCATATGTAATAGTGATTTATTTTATCTTTCATTTGATTTGAACTAAAAGACAGCAATAAAATGCAGTAAATATATTTAGATGCCACCTTATTTGAAGACGTTGCATAAAGAATCAAAATGGAGTGTTAAATAATGAAGAAAGCTGCTTGAAGATATTCAATTTTTTCAAAAAGGCAAGTTCCTTTGTACTTTGTTACGGAAGTAATATAAAACAGGTTATTGTCAGTAACAAACCTCATATTTTTATGTCCCTTCAGGACCAATGGGATCATTGCTCTCCTTAATTTTCTTTTAATATCTGTAAACAATTACAGAATTCAGAGGTAGGATCAGGAAGGTTAGCAATTAGTCAGAATACCCTGTGGGCATAGTATTCTGACAGTGAAGTTGGCAGAGGACCACAGGAATTTCAAAGCGTCAATACACTTCTCACACCCAGGTTTGATAGACAGGCTAAGACTGTATGTGGATGGACACTAAACCAATGAATGGGTATGTATCCACTTCCTCCAACTATCTCCTAGATGCTGCCATAGCTGTCCATCTCCACTAATAAAATGAACAAGAAAAAGAAATTGTCTTTTGTTGATACCATTTATAAAGTGGCGTTGGGGGCTTAAGCCAGTGAGGAAATGGAACACAACAAAACTGTATAATAATTATTCATGGGAAAGAAAGAAAGAATGGTTTCTTGCTGCCATTACAATGGTTTTTGAATTTGGTTATGTTTTTAGACTGGTTGGTTGCCATCTAATGTTAGGGAGACCAGTCTACCTTGCCATTTAACCTATGACTGGGAAAAGACAAGATGGACTTATGCTTTTCCTAAAGACATTATTGCCAAAGTTAAATATTTCCATTTTCCACAAAAAAAATGTTGGCTCACAAGCACCTGCAGAGTACAAGTGTGATGAACAAACAGGTTTAAAAAAAAAAAAAAATAAAAAAATAAAAATACAATAAAAAATAAAAACCTAATAGAAATGTGTGGATAGTGTAATTGTTATAGACATAGACAATGTAATCAGCACATAAATTTTTTAGCAATCATCACAAAGTTCATAGAATTTGAAAAAAATCTTCCTGTTTTTAGAAAGGCCAGGCTGTAGGGATGCAAAGGGCGATTACCTCCTTTTGGCCGAGATGCAGTCACAAGGATCATGTGATGGCCGGTGAGTGACATCAGTTCATAAAGCTTTTCATCCCACAGAGAAGATGGATGACAAAAACCCATAGCAGTAGGGAAAGCAGAGGAACCTACATTGTCTCACCTGACACATAAAAGATATAACTGGCCTGTTGTTTTCCCTATTGGGAAATATTACAAGTCACACTCTCTTTTTGCCTCTTTCACACTGCTTGTTGTAGGTCATAGTTTCTCTGTGTAGGACAAATTTCTGATATATATATATATATATTAGTATAAAAAGAATCTCTTTAAGAACAATTTATGTTTACCATTCCTTTAAGCAGTGTGAAAGAGGCAAAAAGAGAGGCTTTTACTTGTAATATTTTCCAATAAGGAAAACAGAAGGTCAATGGTGGTGGTACTAAGTGAAATCATGTGGGTTCCTGTTTCCCTACCACTGTGGGTTTTTGACATCCCTCTACTCTGTGGGATGAAAAGCAACTGGCTTTATGAAGTGATGTCACTCACTGGCCATAATGGGGAAATACAAACTGGGAATGTTCTTTTCTTGCATGTCACCCCCATTATGGCAAAGGTTTGCTTAAATCAGTATTCAATAGTTTCTAGGAAAGCCTGGTTATTCTATATGATTATTGCAACAAAATTTATCAGCTAATTTTATCAAATATGCAGAGACTTATTCCTTGACTCTTGAGAAACTTCAAACCAAAACCTAAGTTTCCTGAAATCTTCCAACTGTTGATGTAAAATCAGTATATCTTTAGAAAATTCAACCTCACTTGAGATTTTACTTATCTACATTTATAGAGCAGTGAATAAGGACCAGAGTCATTATCAAAGGCTTGCAAGATATGTCCAGTTCACTTGGGAAACAGGACAACTAATTTTTTTAAATGATAGGAAAAAAAAAAATTTCCAAGGACTCAATTTTTGAGATTGGCATCTCCACAATTTGTGAAATCCAAATACCAAGTGAGCAAGAAAGAATATAAATTTTATATGGAGCAATCAATTTTATTTATATATAATTTTAAAAAACAAAGAAACAAAAACTTTCAACCAATTTAAATAATATATTTTCAATTTGAATTAAAAAGGTGAGAAGAAATGATCTTCCTACCTGTAAGAATCATACACGAAGATATCAACTTCAAATATAAATAGTTATAAGAGAATTAGAATTTACAAATTATCAATAAATGGTTTAAAAAAGCGCCACATGTTTATACTAGGAATAGATTTTTTTTGCATAAACATTATTTTAGATGGATTCTTGAATATTCAGGCTGGTAAATGTAATTAAATAAAAATAGTTTAATTAAATAAACAGAGCATTTACTTGAATATGAGCATCTATCTAAAATAACATTTAAGCAAAATAAATTATATCAGATTTAACCCACTTCATAAAACTAGAAATAGTGTTAAAAGAATTCTTAAATTCTGATTGGCTCTGTAAAAAAATAAACAAAAAAGATAAGTATATACAGATATTAAAAATTGTGTTCATTTATAATAAAGGGACAATGCAGGGGATCAATTTGGACATTTTTCTCCAGTTTAATCCAGTTTGGAAGACTCACCTGATTGGCTAATAAAAAAGCAAACATCATCTCTGAAAATAGGAGTGCTTCGGTCCAAAAAGTCACTGGCTAATTCTACCATCACAGGTTGTTCTGTCAGTTCTTCTAAGAGTTGACGAGTCTAGAAATAAATAAAAATTTATATTTGGAGAATAATTTTTTTTTTGGATAGCAAAAGAATACAAAGTTAAATTAAAAATAGTAACCTCTGAACAGCAAACAAATAAAAAATTAAAATTACTTGTGTGAATCAAGTGTTGAAATGAGCTTATTGAAGTAGAGAAAAAATTGACAAAATCAAAGTCATTTGAAAATTTGAATATTTTTTTATCTCTAGGTAAGAAATATTCAGCTAAATGTCTACCCTATATGGTTAAAAAACAAAACAAAAATGTAACTTGACAGATACAATGTAAGTATCCAGTATAGCATTATATTTATGATAGGATAAGAAACAAATAGAAAATGGAAAATTTAGCAGGTTTCACTTTTATTAAAGCTTCATCAGAGATTGAGATATGGAGAAAAAGAAAAAATTCTGGTATTTTAAATTTTTGTATTTTTTATTGGTCTAAGCAGACTCCTATTTTACTCATTTATAAATCTACCATTCATTGAATATTGCTGTCACATCTGGTCTCATGCATTTCTATGTATTTAGAAATTCTCAATAAAATCCAAAGAATCCACAATGGCATCTTTGCTTTTGTCACTTTCCTGCCACCCTAAGATACCTTCCCTGTGCCTTTTCTATAAATATTTTCATGGTAATTGTTTTGGTACTTCAATTTTATGAATTTAAGTACCTTGTACATTAGTAGCTTTATTACCTTACTTGGAGGGGGTGTGTGGAAATTAAGGTTCTCAAAATCACAAACCTTTTATTCAATTCATAGGAGTAGACTTCTACTGGGCATGATAAAGAACATTTTGTAATAATTGTATTAATTTGACACTTCTGATCATTCTACTAGATGGTAAATATTTGTCTGAGGGAGGGGTCTTATTCCTTTGCAGAGGAGACAGTTCTAGGCCCCACCAACAGAACAGTGGAAATTTGGAGCCATAAATTTATGGTCTCTTTTGTGGTTCAAGAATCTCATGTGGTTTTCAAGTATCACATGGACAAATTAACTAAGATTCCCCCCAAGCATTGACAATGCAATGAGAACAGTCTATCCCTGTGGATTGAAGATTCTGAGAATGTTGCCAACTACAACAGTCCCCAAGAGAAAGACTAAAAGTGGCCAAATGTTATGATTATAACAATAAAGATAAAAACAATTCAAATAAATCAATGTATATTAATATTCAGAAATAAGTGTCTACCAATTTAGGTAATCTTTAGGGAATTTCAAACTGAACCCTTTATTTAATCTACAAGCATAGTGTTCTCTCATTTTACTCTCCATGTCCAGGGATATCGCATCCTGTTCTTGTTTTAGTACTGCTCACTTACAGCACATCCTGTTGCCATTGAGTTTCTGTATGTACTACCCTGTTTATGAAATGAACTCGTACTTACTACGTCACCAAACTCATGAACCAACAGTAAGCTGTTATTTTTGTGGAGAAGGTCAGCGGGCATAATGGCATAAATGTTGTGATAACAAAAAAGGAGTACATTTGGTTAATCCCAGAAATTCAGACTGGAAACATCTAAGGTTTATCAAATTGCCATTATTTTGTATCATGTAAAAACTTATCCAACTACAAAAGCCCACTTTGCTACATATTGAAACAGGTTTGAAGTTCATTTTTATTTGAATCTTTAACTAAGGTCACCCAACTTTCATAAATAACTGTTGGTTATTGAACTCCTAGAAAAAAAAAAAAGATCAGAAATTTGACCAAGATCTATCATTTTTAAAAATTTTACATGGCTCTTAATTCACCTCATGTAAAACTAATATATTAAATTGATGTGTATGGCTAAGTTTTTGAATACAGTCATCTCTTGGCATCTGCAAATGATTGGTTCTAAGATTCATAGATACCAGAATATGTGGATGCTCAAAATCCTGTGTATAGTCCAGTATTTGTATAAACCCTACACACATCCCCACTCTATACTTTAAAATCGCATAATTATTTTATTGATAAATTCATTGTCTACAGATTTTAAGGTTATTTAAAGCCAGAAAATATTTTTAAATTGTAAGAATTTTTTTGAGATAATAATCATTTAGTGATACAAGTATTACTAATTAACCCATAGGTGTGGGGAGGAGAGGTGGATACATACCTTTCACAAGAGTATTTGTACATAAGTGAAGATAATGAACCCAACTAGAATTGGAACTTTGCTCTTAATGATTCCAAGCCATTATCTATTACATTGCCCAAACATCCAAGTTTACAGCACATGGTATTCCTAAGCAGGCCTGACATTGCTTAACTTCGGTGATTGTACTGGAACTGTTGTTTCAACATAATATGGCTGTAAGTCTCAATTATTTATAATATCAAATACAATATGAATAGACATACTGTAGGTATGAACAAAAAATAGCAGCAGACAGACATGCAAGAAAAAGGAAAAATCAAAACATTTATCAAATATTTTGTGCCATTAGTATGAAGCAAGATTGGGAAAAATTCTGATATAAACATTTGTGAACACTTCATAAAACCAGAAATTTGTGGAAAAAAAAAATCATGACAAAAACAAACAAAAAAGCAAAAATAAAAACAAAAATAAACTTAATTTGCATCAGATTATTTTAAGCAAAAAAAAATTTTTTCAATTAAATTTTAATAAAAATGTTGATACTTATTTAAGTGTTTCCTCCCATTTGGAGTAAATAAGTAAAATAAATAAAAAAGAAACAAAGAGTGCACAAAAAAAAACAAAACATGTAGCAAACAAATCAGAGGAAGTAAACAATGATCAAATAAGTGCTGGAGAGATTGATGATCTGTGAAATGGTAGGAAACAGCAGTTGGCAGTTGGGCATATCTACACGTTACTTCAAATGTGTGAATTCAAGATAATGGTTAACATACATTTATCTTTCTTTTTTGGAAATCTGGAATTTTATTACTTTAAATATTTCAAATTTGTTGTTGGTTGTATCCACAAATATGAAATTCATGAATGGTTAACTGTAGTGTATAACATTTACCCACTGATTGGCTGTAAATTTGGCAAATGCACAGAAGTGGTCCAGCTCAACATCCATATTTTTGCAATAAAAAAAAAAAAAAAAAAGAGTTCTTTGTTTTCTGTTAACATCTTGGGCCTGTTTTATTTTCTGGGTAACAACCAAATCTCTTATTAATGTCTGACAGTCAACACAACATTCCAGATAAACCTATCTAGAGCTTTCCTCAGGTATATTGTCTGTATTAAAAGAGATCAACAACAGATCTTTGGACAAGTTCATTTCTTTAAAAATGTGCAAATATAGACAAGTCTAAGGAAAATGACAAATTCAAAGTAAAGGTTTTGTTCTAACTTGAAATTAGTTTGGTTATCAGTTACATAAAGAGTTTCTTGGGAATTCTTGTCCATAATTTTGAGGGTCATTAAAATTTCAAGAGTCAAGCAATTTAATTCTTTGTGTTGCTAATGTCAAGAATTTCAGTGTTAGGTGTGGTTTCCTTTGCTAAAAAAAAAAAGGAATAAATTGGAAGACACTATATAAATGCTATGGTGTCACTGATAGGATGTTTAAGTTGCTTGGACAAACCAGAATTTATTGAGACTTGAACCTGGTGTTTTGCAGCCGATGTAAGTGCTAGAAAAATTGAAAGATAGCAAGGCAAGAGGGGGAGAAAATGAAATAATTGACCCCTTCCTAACTCTGGCAGGATATGAAGCTATAATGAAAATTTCTGTTATGGTAAGAATTGAAGGAAGTCGACTACTGATCATGAGTCATAAAACAACACTATATAACAAGTGCAAAGATCATCTGTGTTATACAGACATGTGGGAATGAACCAAGCTGGTCAGTACATAGGTAAATGGCTCTGTTCCCTTTTAGTAAATCTTTTTTCCAGAGTAGAATTGATTGTAAAGTTTGATGTAACAAAGCAGCAGTGAGTTCAGGTGTGGGACAAAACTCTTTAATCATTGCAATAAACAATTAAAAGATTTATCAGAGTATTATCCCTGAACATTTTTGGGAATTTTTTCATATTTCAGAAATGCCTGTGTCAGCCATGAAGAGACACAAATGGCTGATAAAAAGTTGAACTAGATAATTCATCTTTGTATGGACACAAAAATGTTCCAAATTTATTTGCAGAAATACGTAAACAAGATAGTAGCCATTAGTCCTATCCTATCCCTATGAGTGTAAAGCAGTATTGTTCTATGTTATGAGCTATTTCACAGACTAAAACTGACATTCAAGCTCTTGTGGTTCACTATCAAAACAGTGAGCCAATATTGGAGTGTTTTACCAATAACTCGTATTAAAAATTCAGTGGATTAAAAGCTCAATATTTCAATATAGGGCTTTTAACTAACTGAATTTTTACTACAAGTTTATTGATAAAACACATGAATTTATTCTTTAGTAGTTTTTATCCTGTGTTCTGGTAATTAACACAAAAACCCATGTGTTTCATAAAAAAAACATCTACAAATATTTATTGTTTACACTATTTACATTGTTCGGATTGTTGTTCTCATCTTTATTGCCATATTTACAATGTTTTCGATGTTCTATGCTCCAACCTTCAGGTGATATACATTGGAATTTTGAACCAAACTGTTTATTTAGTCCAGTGGAGTAGATTGTTCTAATTCCATGTGCGATGCCGGGGGGGGGGGGATATATCATTATCTGTTATCTCCCTTTAGTAACTCAACTCTCCAAGTTTTATTCACCTCTGCTGTGGCCTGGTATTGAAATCACAACTCTTTGGGTTAAGTCACTTTTTGGATTACTCAACGAACAGTTTTATCCACTGGAAAGAAGGTCCGAGTGTACAATGGCCAAAACATTGTGAATATGGCAATAAAGATAGGACAACAGTCCAAATGATGTAAATAGCGTAAATAGTTACAATACTTCATCTCAGAAATACAGAAAGGTTTATTGTATCTTACTACATTTGAATACCCTGAGGTAAAGGGTGTTGTGTTGCACTCTTGCAGTAGGGAGATGTGGGAGATGCAAAAACACTCACGGCAAGAGCACTGTGGTAGCTTGTTCCACATGCAATAAACAGCAAACGTCGGCACCTTCGAATTTCTGTCATAAAGTCTTTGATGCCACCAAGGATCACTTGATTGCTGTCAAAGTTAACTCGACCTCGCATTGTGTTCACGACAGACTCTGGTTGTTCAAAAATTTCTTTCTGCATAAAAGAATCATAGTTTCCTAAAAAGAAAGAAAAGAAAAAAAAAAAAAAATCAGTTTTTCTTTCTACAAATCAAAACTCAGGATTAAAAGTCTAAAAGTGACTAATGTTACTTGCAAGTAACCAACCAACAAGCTAATATATAGACTTAATTTGGAAACTGAATTTGCAAGTAACTAAAATAATGATGATAGGTTACACCTGGCAACAAGGCCTCTGATTGGGAGATTGGGGTTTTGAGGTGTGTGGAATTACTTTTTAACTGCTGTTATTTCCAGCTCCATCCTAACCCAGGGTGGTAGCACCTGTTAGAGTCCCGACTATGGCCAAATAGTAAACTTCCAAACAAAAACAAAACACTATAAAAGTATAAAAATACATTTTTGTAGTAAAAATACCCGCAATACATTTTTATATTAAAAAAAAAAAAAGAGAGAGAGAGAGAACAACAACAATATTGATATTGATATTGATATTGATATCTACAATGACCTATTGATAGCAAATGACCAACAATACATTTCATCTGCAGTTGAAGGCATACAATTACATTCAAAATATTCAATGGGAAATAATCAGTGTTTGTCTAATAAAGATTCTTTACATTTAGAGAGAACCTTTAACATTTTCAAATCTTAAATGACAACTTTAAATGTTACAAGATAGCAAAAGAATTTATACTTTTCATTCTAGTTACTGTATATTTCTGCATATAAGGCAACCTTTAAATCTGAAAAATTACCCAAAATATTTTGGGTTGTCTAATACAACAGTTACAAAAAGATAATCTTAAATTCTATGGTGGAACAGCACTGGTAAGTAGACTAGTATGCTTGTGCCATGGATCATAATATGGTAACTACCAATGTAAATATTTCACATTATAATGCTGTACTACAGTTATAAATGTAATAAAATTACTTTACTTCTTGATTTCACTTCAAAATGCAGTATTCAATAGACGATTACACAACAATTTGCAAAAGTTCTGCTGAGTGACACACACAAGTAATGTAAACGAGTCTTTCGTCCTTGATCTGTAGAGCAATCGGTACATTCACACCAATCATTAATTCTCATAGTAATGTTAAATAAATTTAGGATAACATAATCTATATTTCTAATTCATTGTCCTTGTGCTGTTAAATAACATTTAACATAATGTGCAAACTTTATTTTTCAAAAACATACTTTATATGGTTGTTTTTTTGTGGTGTCACATAAAACATTTAAGATGCCATAAAATCTTTATTTCTCATTACAGAATAAAAAATGTAAGATAATCACATGCATAATTAAAACCCTTCAAAATTACTTTGATCATCAGCATTTGATGCAAAGAGCTCATTATAAACATTGTCATTTACAGTTTCATCATATGGGTCTCAGTCAGTTGACATATGCTATAGATATCAGATAAAATCATGAAAATTTATCTAGATTTTAGTCTGGTCTGTTTGTTTAATGGCATATCAATTCCTTATGGGTCATTTAATGACAAAATTTAATTTTCTTGAGAGCTTGAGTAATTTTTTTCTTTTTACAAAAATTGCTGGTAATTTATTTTTTTGAAATCTATACTTTTTTTTTAACCCCAGTTTAGGGGTTCATTATTTACCCATAGCTAGGACTCTAAAAGGTGCTACCAGCTCAAGTCAGGGTAGACCTGTGAACAATAGCAATTGAGAGGTGGGGTCCCATGCTCCTCAAAACTGCCCAATCAAAGATCTTGCTGCTTGTTTATAATTGTATCCAGGACAATTGGGTCTTGTCCTATCTATAGGTCACTTTATACATGTAAATATATATGGTAAATATTTTCATTGACCAGTATTTTCAGCTTTTTTCTCATTTTCCTCAGACTGTTTTTTTTTTTTATCATTCACAAGCCAAAATTAAGTTTCTTTAGTAATGGAAAGTCATTTTTGCTTATTAGTTTATTTTTGTGATGTCATGTGTAACGATTATTGAAAACGAGGCCACACAAAAAGGAGGATATATTTCTTTGTAATTTTCTTATATGCGTACATTAAAATATCACATGCACTTCAAGATATCTTCTCCTGTGGTGAATGATATTTAATGTGGGGAGATTATTTTGTATAATAGCTTCTAGTTTTTGGGTGTTTTAGAGTATTTTGGTATTTTGGTATTGTCCATATCTGTAAAAAATTCGGATATTTTTATTTATCTGAAAAACAAAAAGAAAAAAACAAACAAACAAACATGACAAAAAGCAAACTTGTTTGCCAACATGTTTTGTCCCCAGATGAATATTTGGTTTGATAACATCAGAGAACAAAACACACTGCCAAAGTTTTCCTTTTGCCACACACACACACACACACACACGTCTTAAAAATGATAGAGTGCATTCTTTAAAAGGAAAGTTTTTCACCCAACAAGATTAGTTGGAACAAAAAACCCAAACAATCATCAACAGCAAAACTGAAAAAGTCCATGAATGGGTAAATAAGGAGTCATGACTAAAATAATTTTATTACTAAAACAAATTGATGTAATTAAGTTCCTAGTGTGTATAAAACAGAAAAAAATATACTCATGACCAACCCATGAGACACAGAGAATGAAGAAAGTTCTCCTCCTCTGCCTGAACAAAGTCAGTTGGTGAAGGTTAATATGAACAGCTTTTATGAAACATAAATGTTTTGTTGTCAGAATATTTCAATGCGCAACCCATGTTGTTCACCAAATGCAGTCCAATCGCTGAATCAAACTGACTGAGTCAAGCGAATACTTTAACTGACTCCACCCTGTCTTATATGAATGCTGTGCAATCCAGGTTTCCAACTGCAAGTTAGTCCGACCCACAATCAGCCTTGCACTGACATTTAAATTGGTTAATAACAGAACTGCTTTGCAAGTAGGGCAAACCATCCTTCACAAAAAGACGAGAACACTGGAATAGTATCAAAGACAACACTCAACTTGACAGTAGAAAAGCCTGAAATCACACAGTTAATACATATACATATCCCTCACTGGTAGCAGGACCGAGTTTCATGCACTCAATGCAATCTTCATGTGTGGGAGATATATATATATATAATGCTATTGAACTGACAATTAACAATATATACAAAAAAAAAAAAGCAGTAAACCTTTCATGATTTGTTGAATTTCCATTTTCAGAGTTGTCACTTCACGGACAGTAGAGTCATCAATACTGCGTTTCATTCGGTGGATTGTCAGGCATCCATCTGTGACTGCAGCAACGTCATCATCTTCCAGGAAAATGACTTTGTTTGTGTGTTCAATTATAGCACTAAGAAAAATAAAATTAAATGGAGCAAATAACAAAGACGATTTTAACTGAACAGATAGCAATAAAGCTTTCAAAAAAAAAAAAAAAAAAAAAAAAAAAAATTCAACTTGCTATTTGTGTTGAACCAATGAAGAATCAGCAGAAAAACATGAACATTCCAAGAACAGAACACTATTTTCCAAGGTAAGGAATCATCCATAAAAACTCTTCAGGTATAGAATGAGAATAATTTTTAAAGCTTAATTGAAAATATTCAAAATATCTAAAATGTATGCACTGTTTACATTGTTCAGACTGTTGTCCTCATCTTTATTGCCATATTCACCTTCAACGTCTGTCTCTATTTCTCAGATGAGGTATTGCAACTATTTACACTATTTACATTGTTGTCCTTATTTTTATTGTCATATTGATGACATTTCGGCTGTTGTATGCTCAGGTGATATTTGCTGAAATTTTGAACCAAACTTTATTTAATCCACCTGAAGAAGGCCGGAGCATACAATGGTCAAAATGTCATGACTATGACAAAGAGGACAATGTCCAAACAATGTAAATAGTGTAAATAGTTACAATATATAATCTCAGAAATACAGACATATCTAAAATGTAGCCTTGACTTTCCTTTTTTTTTTATGTAGGACAATTGATACATAAGTGTTATCCTATATTTAATTAGACTGTGATTTATATTATAACTAGCAGTAGAGCCCGGTGTTGCCTGGGGATATAACAGTAAGAGATAGATCAAGTATCCACCATCATAAAGACTGAAAAATAAAATTGACAAAGATTATTGTTTAAGGTTGACGGACACGCATGTCTTAATTAGGTTTTTTTTTTTTTAGGAATTGGTCAAACCCAAACTCAAACAAAAACATTGTTTTCAATCGTTATGAGTCTCCCGATTGAATAGAATTTTATTATAAATAATTGTCTTGTAAATGGAATTTTAAAGCATTCTGAATGTTAAAAAATAAAAAAAAAGTGTGCAAGAGAATAAGGAACACTACCCAAAAAAAAAAAAAAAAAAAAAAAAAAAAAAGTTGAAGTTTTGTTTTATTGGCTGAAAATATAGGAAATCTTCTCCCATATTTAAAGGAAGCCACACACAAAAAACCCAATGTGAGTTGTCCCCCTTCCATTTTCACGATGTCGCTTAATCGTGTTTTCAAATTGATTTTGTGCAAAAACAATTATATTTTTCCCCATTTTTGGCGCTGTTAGAACCACCACAAGGTAATTTTATGTAGTCCTGTGAAGTTTTGTTGAAATCGGTTGAAAAATGTAGGAAATCCGATCCAATATATAAACGTTACAGACACACACACACACAATCTGAGTTTTATAAAGAGCTTATTTGAAACATTTTGCTTGGACAATTGCAATAAGTATGTGCATGGGGGTGGGTGACATATCACAAAGCTCACAGATGCTACATTGATCTTCACTAAGGGTCCAGAAGCAAAACTTGGATCCTAGAAAGAAGTACCAATCCCTAAGTAAATCTATTATTTTTAACAGATATGATGCTTTAAGTAAAAACTATCAGACTACTTTGGTTTTGGGTAAAAAGTACAAATTTACAGACTGACTCTTGAAATAATTTGTTGAACACAAAAATCTTACCTGGCATCTGAGGCAAAAAAATATTCAACTTCATTGTTTGGTCCTGTTGGATGGAATTCTGTTAGGGTGTCTGATGGTCGTTGAAGAGGTTCAATATAACCTCTGTGATCTAAAAGATGAAGAAAAGAAATTATACAAAAAGGAAATTATTTACAGAATATTCAGGGAACTTACAATAGAAAATAGGGTGTGATAAATAACATGGACATTTTGGGAGAAGAATTTTGGTGTGTGGGTGAATAAAGTGGATAAACGATCTGGGTATTCAGTTTGTTAGTCTGATAAAAAAGCATTAGTGTACAAGCTTAAGCTCCACTCCAAGAGGGAAATTTCAAAATCTATTGGAAATTTTAATTTTAAAAAGATTAAAATATTGCTATGAAAATAGTCTTATATAGTTTAAGTTAAATTGAAAAGTGTCAGTGTAAAAATGAATTTAAGTATTTTAGAAAAATCTTGCTATTTACAAATTTTCAAAGCTTTTTAATTCAAATGCACAAATCACAAAAAGCAATAATTTTAGTTAACCAACACCCATAAAATTTAAATCAATCCAACAACCAAAGTAGATGGTCAATTCTTTTAACCATTGAATTGTAGCTAAAACAAATCTGGATTGTTGTTTGTTTTTTTTTTTTAATATTCTTAAGTCATTTTGCTAATCATAGGAAAAAGAGACTTAAAACTGAATATGTAAGTGTTACAGACCTTCTGCACTATAAATTCAAAACCGAATACTTAATGACTTTAAATTTAAGAAACAAACTAACTTCTCATGAGCAAACTAAAAGAACAAATCAATTGCAGATTTTTCCATATTTTCATTCAACTTTTTACACCTAGCAGTTTTAGAACTTAACCTTATAAAATGATTATCTTTGGAACAAGTGATTAGTGATAGGAACAAGATTAAAGAATTTGAATCATTTTTATCATTAGAAATTTATGTATGCACACCCAGCAAAATTTTATTCCTGAAACTGACAAGCTAATTTTATATTTTAATAGATTTGTTTGGCACAATTCAGGTTTTGTTAATAAATCTTAGATGAACAAGGAAATTTAGTCTAAATCTCAGAGAGAAAAAAAAAATAAATAAATAAAAGAAAAAAAAATAAAAAGAAAGAAAAAGTTGAAGTTCAAGGTTGTCAGTTGATTAACTGCAAAAGGAAACAAGAAAACTTGTTTTGTCAACTTGAGGTCTTCAATCACAGGTGAGGCTGCAGCAGCTTTGTGTACTTCATTGGATTTCTACATTAGACAAACACCTATATATACAAACCAAGTTGTTGCAAAATAAGTCCATATTAAAATCAGAAAATTTCAAATTAATATCTGTAAAACTGGAGAAGAATTACTTTGCAACAACTTGATCTAGATAAGACAATTGGATAGCAACATTTGCAAGATTCAAAAGACCTTTTAAAAGGATTCACGTGAGAGATAAAAAATTTGCCAAATTTCAAATCT